TTGACAACATGCATGCGTTTGTGTGTCAAATACATGGTAGCGTGTGCAACGTTTAATGTATTATTTATGCATAATTTATACAAAATATTAATATTCTGCACTCCTTCTCGATATTCTCTATAAGTGTGGGAAATTTCATATTCCTCCGTCCGCGCAATTTTTGTAAAAAGGGATACAAAGTTTTTGCTTCACGTATTAATATATAGATACATATTATAATCTTATACGCGTATAATATATACCAATTACATAAATCAAGCTATTGTCACATTTATCGCATTGGAATTCTCTTTCTCTCTATTTCTCTACACCAATACAATATAAACGGATAGTAATTAACGAACGTTCTCTGTCATCGTTAGCGCAAACAAATCAAACGTTACATAGACATACAATCTCTGTATAGAGTATAGACAGATGTTTCTTTGTTATGCAAATGCATGGATGTGTCCCCTCGTCTGATGGCCGAACTCTGTCCCTCGTACCGCTAAAGGCTATAGCTCCGTTACCTGTAACGCCTGCAAGCTAAATGGTCAATTATGTGGTACTGGTATTTTTCATACCAAACGATTTCTCCGTAAATTCATTCTGATATCTCAAATGTTAAATACAAAGTCAGCGGATAGGCTGCCTTATTTCTAAAACAATTGGTTACTGTTTCGCTTATCCCGTTTTTTTTACCTGTTATGTTTTAATACTGCTCATCTCTTTTGGATTTTTAAAGTACTTTTTCAATCACTACTATGAAATTTTAACTGTCAGAGCTGTATTTAAAGGAAAATGAGCTTTTACTGTGCAATTTAACATTTATATAATTTAATATTTTAGTGTTTAATTCATGGGATTAATTAATTAACCGAGAATATACAACCATCCTTAAGCTTATGTTAATGCAGGGAAAATTGATTTATCCAGGTATATCAGTGCACAGTACAATCTGTGTTACGTAATACAACGGCATTTGCCCCGGGTACCATGCACCCTGTGACATGCAAATCTTGGTGATAGTATTAAATCGGATAGACGGAAGTGTACGGATAGTCGATGCCAGTAAATTGATGTAACTAGTGAGGATACGTTGGGTGAATGGTAATATAGTAGGTGGACAGACAACTGGTCCTGCTGGCTTAGTTAATTCTATTGCGAATTCCTTTGTAGTGACGATTCGATTGCGACAAACGAACTGCGGTTAGATGTTGGAGTGGGCGTCGTCTAGAGTACGAACACGCATTGTTATTGTGAATACATTGTATTTATATCTGTACAGCGTGGTTCTCAAGCCGGTGGCATGTGTTTCATAGTGGTTGTCAAATCAAAATAGTTTTAAAATTGTATTTCGATCATGCGTATTTATCATTTTACAAAATAAACCTACCATCCGGCTATGGAATGAGCTCCCCTCCACGGTTTTTCCCGAGCGCTATGACATGTCCTTCTTCAAACGAGGCTTGTGGAGAGTATTAAACGGTAGGTAGCGGCTTGGTTCTGCCCCTGGCATTGCTGACGTTCATGAGCGACGGTAACCACTCACCATCAGGTGGGCCGTATGCCTGTCTGCCTATACGGCAATAAAAATAAATAAAAAAAACTCATAACTTTCAAATTTCAATTCTGGGTTAATTGGGCCTATATGGTACAATAACTATCTAAAGGGCCACAAGGTCGTTTGCCCATACTATTTACAATTTAAAAATAAAGAAGTTGCCAAAAGATACTGAGTTCCCTCACTACCAGAAAACAGATCAATAAGCCTTAGAGTAAAAAGTATAATGAGTAAGTTTTATAGTAACTTTCAGCACTTCCAGCATTTATAAGAAATTCAAGTATTGTCCGGGATAAATATTTATATTTACGGCCCCCTAGAAAATTAAGACATGAACTGGCGGTACATACAATACATAATAAATGCCATCACTTCGAGGAACTAATCCGCTGATATATACATTGAATTTTTATTAAAAATTGAAACTTGTCACAACTTTTTTTACTTTCATTTTCTTTTCTTTATAACATGTTCAAATACGACCAAAAATTCCGGCCGCATGCGACCCACGGACTATAATTCATGACTCCGTTCTATATGTATAATTAAATGTGTAAAATATGGTTAATTAAAAATAGTGCTATTAACACACCACCACCGATAACGCTTAACGTCAAGAGAGCCGTGAAATTCGTGGCGCATAAAAAGAATAGTGGTAAGTTTAATGGTGCATTTAAAAAAAACTATTACCTACATTGTAATTTATACATTTAGTATAAAGCTAGTTTCTAATGGAAAATATCAGTATAGGTATATGATATTTTTCAAAATATATCTTTTACTGCTATCAAGAATACTTTTGCTAACTGACCTCAGTAAAAAATAGTATGTTGGACAAGACATTTTTACCAGAGTCTCTGGAAGCATTAAGCTTTGATAAATCTTTTCTTTATCTCATGCGGTGCAGTAATAAATGCTCAAAATAAAACCGCATTAAAAACTCCAACCATATTTCTTTCATTTTTAAAAATATTTAACCAAATTCAACCAACTCAAACCAACTCAGAGCTCATTTCGTCAATAGAAAATTTATTGCTATGACAGCCACTTATCGTCAGACAAGTTAAATACTGGCCTATTACTGGTTGTATCACGATTTTTCAATTTCGTTAAGGTAGGCAGTGGCTTGGCTCTGGCCCTAGCATTGCTGACGTCCATGAGCAACGGTGACCACTTATCATCAGGTGGGCCGTATGATCTTCTGCTTACAAAGGCAATAAAAAAAATCATTAATTAATTTCTAATACCAACTCTAGATACGTTGGCAAATGAGTTCACGTCCTATTTGGTATTAGGTGCCTCTTTTTTGGTAGAGTACGAGCTCTTCCTCTCCCGTCCTGCTGTCTTCCTCTGCAAGATAGTGGACTCGCAGAAATCAAGCATCGCTTGACAGGCTCGGTCCTATCTGCGCGCAACGAGGACGCTTCGCTGCTACGCGAAAACAGGGTAGTACGCGAGCGGGTGCGGCGACGGTATGACGACGGATACTACAGTGGTGGCACTTTAGCGTCGGCTCCTAGCGGATGACGCAGAGCATGTAACGGCCGAAAGAGTCGTGTCCCCTGAGTACCTGCGTAGCCCGGAAGGTTAGAGATCCTCGGTCGCAATTCACCTAGTCCAAGAGGACCGGGCGGATATCCTTGACGGTTCGTCGTCCGTAGGCGGGGTCCGCTAGGCGGTGATACCACGCTCGAGCCCGGCCCGCCGCGGTTGAACCCTCTGCGCAAATTCACGTCGCGGAGGGACATGACTCCCCGGTGGAGAGAATATAGCGTAGCCATCCGTAATCCGCGGTGAGCGCCTCCACTTCCAGGTACCAGGGAGGAGCTCCGTCGAGCACGCATGCCGCCTCGAACGAGACGGTGTGGTACCCGCGGACCGCCCAGACCATAATCGCGCGTTACGGACATCGCAACACGCATTACGGGCGTGACACCAGACAGGAGCCTCGTACAGCGCCATCGACTGCACTAGCCCTAGTGTAGATTCTTCGTTCCACCACGTCAGCCTCCCCGACGTTCGGCAAGAGGTGACCGAGCGAGCCGGCGAACGAAGTCGAAGTCGTCGAAGTTTCCAGGTCGTCGTGGCCTACAAGATAAGAGCGTTTGTGTTGAGGGATGCACCGGTGTTCGAATCCCAGGCGGGTACCAATTTTTCTAATGAAATACGTACTCAACAAATGTTCACGATTGACTTCCACGGTGAAGGAATAACATCGTGTAATAAAAATCAAACCCGCAAAATTATAATTTGCGTAATTACCGATGGTAGAACCTCTTGTAAGTCCGCACGGGTAGGTACCACCACCACACTGCCCATTTCTGCCGTGAAGCAGTAATGCGTTTCGGTTTGAAGGGTGGGGCAGCCGTTGTAACTATACTCAGATCTTAGAACTCATATCTCAAGATAGGTGGCGTTATTATTGTCTATGGGCTCCAGTAATCACTTAAAACCAGGTAAGCTGTGAGTTCGTCCACCCATCTAAGCAACACAAAAAAAAACGCAATCAGCTGGAGACCCAACTTTCCGAAGTGAGCACGGAAGCTCCAACGACCGTCCGCTACGTCCAGTCGCCTCGATCTCGACGCGGACACTTCTGATTACGAGGTGGCACTCTCCGTGCATCATAAAACAACAAGACCCGGAATTTATCGAGTATCATCTCCAGACCCAGCCTTTGAAACCTGGCGCCGACGAATCCCTCCCCCGGGCAGCATATACGAGCAGACTCGCGTAAATCCTTCCCTCAGGCCATGAGCAATGTGTCGTCCCCACAGGACCCAATCATAGCAGATGTTCCACAGGAGAGGGCCAAGGACCGACCCCTGTTGGTATTATATAGCTACCGGAACCCATAAGTATCTCAATGCGGACGCAGCAACCCCACATTAGCGATAGGGTTGAAAATTTTTTTACACCAAGAACACTAGGTGCACCACCGTTCCGGCCTACCGTAAAGTACTCTCCTTGAACGTTATTTGAAGCAAGAGACATCTCAAAGGTCTAATTTTTTTTATATAACGTTTCTTATTATAACATACTCATGGAAAGTACGACCCAACTTTCAAACTGGAGCATATGACTACTTCGCGAAAGAAATAAACAAGGTACTGATACCCACCCTAATTCGCTCACAACACACACTAGTAAGAAACCCTTACATTGTAAATTTTTATTTTTAACTTAAATTTTACTCGTAATAACAGGATTTATCGTCAACCCGCACGGGAAAGTACACCCATTCTTTTCGAAGAAAATATGCGTTTCGGTTTAAAGAACTACCGTGAGGAAGCCGTTTGTTTATCCAAAGCAATACTTATCTTTCGAAGTGTAGCAGCATTAATCTTCTGACGCTGTGGTGTCAACAACGGATCTCGTAAATTTAAATTAAACATTACCACGACCCTTAGATAACTTAATTAATAGCCAACATTCAAAAAGTTTCTTTTCTTTCCAGATTGACGACGCGGAGAACTTAACTGGTACGGAACTGGTACTGGTACAAAGGTACGGAACACTGCTCACTCTCAAACATGCTACTGAATGAAACACTACTATCAAACAGATTTTGCTACCATAACAAAACCAACCTGAGGCACACAAAACTACTTTTCATTCAAACTATGCGGACGCACAGTAAACAAATGCCTACTTCAACTTTAAGCGTCAACGTTACGTCACTAAAAGGGAACTCCCCGTAAGCTAACGTAGTTACACAATATAATTCACACACCCTCAAGGTTCTGCGGTGAACAAACAAAATGAATGTGTTAAAACATTAATTTACACACCGATTTTATGTTACGTTGGTGTGTATGTGAGAGCTCTTCAGGTAGTATGTTTGCCTGGTATTCGATGTAACGAAGAGGTGGCAGGATTGAGTGAAGGACCACTTATCTGTATTACGTTGAACGCTAACCGCACATACACATACGTGCATGTCCTAATTCATGACCCTTGAATGAGTACTTCGGAAATTCACAGGGTAATTAGCCAGCATACCGAAATTAATAAGCCCGCATCCAGCGTAAATCGTTGCTGATTGGCTGCAACTCTGAAGAGCTACGGATGAATTTAACTACAAGAGGTGAGTTACAGTAATGCACATGTATCGCTATGCGTGAAATTCAATATTTTCAATGGTTCAATTTTTATTAAGAAATTTCACTTTATTGTTCACTATCATTATTTTTTACAACATACATATTAAGTCAGGAACAATAAATTTTTGGTAAGTAAAAAGCAATGGACGACATCTTTAGTTACAAAACATCTTTAGTTTTCAAGTAAAATAATACATATCATTAACAGTTAGATTTAAAGCTGAATGCATTCTATTTGATAAGGTGTGTACATGAGGCAAAGGCAAGTAAAAATAAAAAAGTGTCGATTTGATAACCAAAAGTGAAGGTCCAAAATTACTTAATAAGAAACAATATTCATCTCTCTTTACTCTGATAATATTCTGATAAACCTGATCAATAAATGAACAAATTAGGATATCACTTTTAATAACAATTTGTTACAATAACCAAACTAAAAGGAAATCAGAAAAAATATCACGGCTCTAAAGATTTAGGTACAAAAAATGCAACGGCTACTATGTAATATTAACATTAATAGACTGACAGCCCTCTGCTTACGCAATGTTTATTTACGGATTAATTAATCAATATTATATGGTTAATCGATGCATTAACCATCAAATTAAGTGTAAATCATACGTCAATAAGCAATGATTTTATAGGGGCGAGACTAGGGCGACACCCCTGAGCAGTGGGGTATAGGAAAACTTTACAAGGTTTGCTACGGTCGAGCGAACTCTGTACTGCAGGGCACAACATTAGCGATGATCACACTATAATCGATTGACGTCACTTGAAGAGAAAAATGTGATTTAAGCCTTCTGAAAGTATACTGTACACTGAAGCTAAATGTAATAAACAGCTACTATTTGAACTTTTTGTGCTTAAACGTATTTAATTTTTATTAGGTGCTATCGAATGTTGTCGAATCACACAATTAAGGAGTAGTGTGAACAATTTTATGTCGTGTGTTCAGTTGTTATAAAATGAGGTAGTCGTCGAAAGACTCCAATATTTGTTCACCAGTTTGGTACCGGGCCAAAAGGCGAACTTCCAATTTTTTTTTCTCTACATAGTCGCTGGTCGCCTAAGGGGCTATTTCAGCTACGCGCGGGCGAATAGGTGAGCTCACGGGCTCAACTTACATATAATGGGGTAATGTCGATCTTCACGATGACCTCAGTTTAGAAAAGATTCGTATCTAAAAGAAGCATCAAAACGCTACGCTGAAAAAGCGGCACGACGCGATAGCTTTCTTATCGTGGCCGCCGCTAATTGTATATCCGACCCAGGCCAAGGGGCAACGCAAAACCGTCGTCTCACAAAACAAATCATACCGGATCCCCCGGAACCGCTCTCGATGCTTTTCGGCTCTTCAAGCACTGGTTGTCACCCTCGTCGAACTTGTCGATAACAATGAAAAGTTTGACGAGCGGACTAACGGACATAGACATAATCCGTTGAGTTTCTCGCCGGATCTTCTCCGTGGGTCGCGAACTGGTACCGGTAGCAGATACTGAGAAAAACTGCTTTTGCTTAATCCAGTGTTAGCAAAGTCCCTTAGGTTGAGTCCCGCAAGCTTGCCTACCAGCCATAACGTAGCTGTAATAGCCCCTTAGGCTACCAGCGAATAGGTAGGGAAGAAAAAAAATCAGTAATAATCATCTACCTACGTTATTACACTACATTTACTAAACCCTTCTTAATTTTTTTTTATATTTAACATTTCGCGTACTTACAAAAATTGGAGTTTAAGAACACAATATCTAATACCATAACAACGCAATGTTTAGTTTCAATGCATAGATTATAAAAGTCTCGTGATAGCTTCTGGACGTCGACCACGCGTATAAGCTTATTTTAATCGTTTTACATTGTGTATAAAACTGAAATTTATTTTCCATAATCTTGTAAGTGGGTCCCGTCTTCTTCTAATTTTAACAAATCCTATATATATTTATTTGTCTATAAGTAGTGTACACCGTGTAATTCACCAAAAAATATGGTTAATTCAATTTAATATGTTAATAATCGGGTTTACTAATGAACATCAATGCAAATCGTCGATTATAGCTCCTGAGCCTATTTTGAATATTAGTTGAAGTGCCGGAGGATATTTGGACAATATCCATTCAACTAAAACTTCCACTCAATTCCACTTGAATAATATCCCACATATGCAATAGGTAACCTCGAGCGGTTACTAACCATTTCAAATTGACGTTCAAATCAAGTCAGACGAAATTAGATCGTCTCAGTAGATTGTTCTTTTCTAATAAAATTATAATTTACTACATATTTATATAATCCACACTAATATTATAAAGCTGGGCTGAAGGGTCTGTTTGTTTGTTTGTTTGTTAAGTTGAACGCGCTAATCTCAGGAACTACTGGTGCAATTTGTTAGATAGCTCATTTAATGAGGAAGGCTATAAGCTATATAACATCACGCTATGATCAATACAAGCGGAGCACCAATAAATAATCTTTCAAAATCGGGGTTTTTCCCTTTTGAGAGCTTCCACTGCGTGCGCTGCGGAAATGGTTAAAGTTTCGCTAAAATAATGTAGGTATGACAAAATTGTTCCCCTTTAAAGATTCTAAAAAAAGGCCGCGACAGTATATATTATATATATTTTATTGCTTAAATGGGTGGACGAGCTCACAGCCCATCTGGTGTTAAGTGGTTACCGGAGCCCATAGACATCTACAACGTAAATGCGCCACCCATCTTGAGATATAAGTTCTAAGGTTACAACAGCTACCCCACCCTTCAAAGCGAACGCATTACTGCTTCACGGCAGAAATAAGCGGGGTGGTGGTACCTACCCGTGCGGACTCACAAGAGGTCCTACCACTAGTATCATACTCGTAAAAAAAAAACGTTAAAACATAAAGAAAAATTCGAAATCTAAAAGTGATATAGTAACTAAATATTAATCATAATATACACAAATAGTGTGAAAAGATATAAAAGTAGGTAACAATATTTTCAAAAATATTAAAATAAAAATTGGGTACCATTTAAACCATTTAACTAAAAATCCTTAAAAAGTCACAGTCTTCCAACAACAAGGACTTGAGAGTAACATAATAAACCGCACAAAATATTTTTTTAAGTGTAGTGGCCGACACTTGGCTGGGTGCAGTGAAGGAATGAGTTTTACGATGAAACAGGAAAAATGCTACTTGCCATACTGTTACGACACTTGCACTGAAACACTCTTTTTATTGACGAAGCTTGGGGTAGTTGAAAATTTAGTCGTGTCTGCAATTTTTTCCAACTAATTTAACTACATAGGTGTGCTCTTTTTCTTCTTGTCTTTATACTAAATTACATGGCATCGGCGCAGCATGTCCTCTTATAATTACTTAAAATCCTAACCTAACCGGGAAAAAACGTCCGTAACGTAAGATTTTTATTAGTAATGCACACAGTGTACGACTTAACTTTGTAATAACGTACAAAAAATAACATATTTTTTTAGCATTCATTGACCACGATCTCAGAGCGTTCGTTTGCGCAATACACTAACTCTTATGCAAACAACCGTGAATGAAGTGTACCACAATAAGTTCACACGTTACCGAATGACCGTGGGTTGTTGCGAAACCTCCAGTTTTATTTTTATTTTGTTTATACCTCGAATAGAACTTAAAATTAATATTTTTATAATAAAGAACTTTTTTTATTTATTTTTTATTGCTCTATAGGCAGACGAGCATACGGCCCATCTAATGGTGAGTGGTTACCGTCGCTCATGGACGTCAGCAATGCCAGGGGCAGAGCCAAGCCGCTGCTTACCGTTTAATACTCTCCACAAGCCTCGTTTGAAGAAGGACATGTCAAATTCGTTCCTATCCGGTGTCCCACGACACCACACATCTTTTTTTCTATGATTTTTACTTTATTATTAAACATTTAGGTACACTTGACTTTACCCATGACTTTTCATATCATTTTCAAGCAAGTCATTTTCGACAAAAGATGTTTAAAAAAAGTAAAAGGTAAGCATGTATATTATATTTTTTCAAACGAATATATTTTCATCTAAGCTATATTTCTAAAGTAATTAATATAACGCATTAAGACAAACTAAAATTAAAAACTTTGAAAAAAAACGGAAAAAATTTAACTAAACATTACAAACATTGAATTAATGTTTTTTTTTTTTTTTATTGCTTAGATGGATGGACTAGCTCACAGCCCACCTGGTGTTAAGTGGTTACTGGAGCCCATAGACATCTACAACGTAAGTGCGCCACCCACCTCGAGATATAAGTTCTAAGGTCTCAGTATACTTACAACGGCTACCCCACCCTTCGAACCGAAACGCATTACTGCTTCACGGCGGAAATAGGCGGGGTGGTGGTACCTATCCGTGCGGACTCCCAAGAGGTCCTACCACCAGTGATTACGCAAATTATAATTTTGCTGGTTTGGTTTTTATTACACGATGTTATTCCTTCACCGTGGAAGTCAATCGTGAACATTTGTTGAGTACGTATTTCATTAGAAAAATTGGTACTCGCCTGCGGGATTCGAACACCGGTGCATCGCATCAACACGAATGCACCGGACGTCTTATCCTTTAGGCCACGACGACTTCAGATGTAATCCTTCTTACTCTCCAAAATCTTGAAAGGCGTTCCAGCGACGAAGAACTTTAACCCACATACACAGCCCACTGAGTTTCTCGCTGGATCTTCTCACCAGATCTAGAGATGCTTTTACCAAGCCATCTGGCCAGTTTTTCCAGTCATGATATTCTCCTTCTCCCTAAACTCATATTTCTAACTTTCATCAATTGTATTATAATTTATTAACGAAAGGTAAGCAATACGGGTAAGAAAAATATGAGAACACTACTACTATGGTTTGATGATAGGGGCAGTAGTAATAGTAGTAGTGAAAAGTTATCTAGCTCCGTTCTGATTTAACGACTCGATTATACAGAAGAGTGACACTAAAGAGACATAGTATACGAGGATATTCATCTCTAGGATTGAGTTTGCGAGAGAATGAGAAACAATATTTTTGAAAGTTTCACTTAAAAGTATGAATTAGACACGTATACATATTAATAAATATATACAATATGACGGATAGGCTGGTTCCATGGTGTTTTTAAAATGATGACATCAGCGCTACTGACACCATTCTCTTCATCATTATCATTGCCTTCCATAGTGACAGTAATTAAGACTCATTTTTGCAATGAGTTCCATTTATTACATTTCAAGTGTACAACGATAAGAACAGAGAGCTCCGCTCCGTTCGCTGCTCGAGTCGGAATGCATAGATAATACACATTAAATTAGTTATAGATAAGCAACTCAAGCACTCAACAAAAATGTTTACGGGCGTGGGCCACTAGATGGCTTCACTTCGATTAGTTTCTCATTGCTCCTGTAGATGGCAGTAATATATTACCTATCCTATATTTTATTTTTAATGAAGGATTTTGAAAATTTTTAGAAACCACAAATTGATAAAATTTAATGAATTTGTCTATTTTACAAATTAAAATAGAATTTTATGTCATAACAAATAAAGACTTATATGATTTATATATTTTCTTATTTTCTGTGTTTAGTTATACAATAATTAAATGCCTTAAGTTTAACAACATCCGTTTAGGGACATCCGCTACAAGATGTCGCTAGTTTCCATGCAAAAAAATCTTTGTCTTAAAGTATCGTAGTTTCAGGGCCGGAATGTTTTGTGCGACAATAGTCACTCATATTTATAGCACAGTTAGGGGTAGCTTAGTCATGAATTCTCTAGAATACCGATTATGCCAAATAGCAATTGATGGCATGCGTAACATTAAGGAAACAGTTAACTTGACTTATTTTTAGTAAACTAAATGTTAACGTAGACACGTCCATTCTGACCGGCGGTGCATGCTCAGCACCAGCAATGTGCATGACGGAGTAGATAAGGATTAAAGGAGATGAAGGATGTAACGGAGGTGAAGAATGGGCGGATTTTTAAGGATGCGGAGGTTCTCTTAGAGTTTTCGGAGGTTCTCAGAATTGTTTGAGATCATACTATCATCTCATTTTTACCCCACCGGAGCACAGTACATCCTACCAGCTGGAGCCACGGCGGTCATCCACAGTGCGTTTCCAGGAATCTTTTTTGCCACTCACCATCCGGCTTTGGAACGGACTCTCATCTACGGTGTTTCCCGAGCGCTATGACATGTCCTTCTTCAAACGAAGCTTGTGGAAAGTACTAACGGTAGGCAGCGGTTTGGCTCTGCCCCTATCATTGTTGGCGTCCATGGGCCACTCACTAGTAGGTGGGCCGTATGCTCGTCGGCATAGAAGGGTAATAATATATACCTATGAAACCTATAAAATTACAAAATTAGAAACATCCTTAACATCAATCGACAGTTATCTTTTTATAACCACATGCAATTATTGTCATTGAATACTGCTTTGCCTCATGGAGATCGTTGTAAAAAGTATAATTTCGTAATCTGGTGTATTTGTTTCAGGATTTTGCTGGCGAAAACAAACTGCAAAGCGATTTAACACGATAATTTGTTGACATAAATCCAGATATTCGACAGGACTTTGCTAGTACCGGAATTTCGCTTAAATTAAGAAGCTAAAATAAATATTAGTAGCGTTAGATCATATTAGGCGTATAATTTTCAATGTTTATTACATAAATACATTTATTAAATAAAAGTTATTCATAGTTTTGATAATTTTATAACCTTCCTCGATAACTGATAACTTTCTGTAAAATATAAAAGTGAAATTACCAAATAACTAAAATGACTTCTGCAAGCTGATGTAGGTAATTTAATACAGTTTTAAATGTATTCCTCTTTATTGGCACACCAGTTACATTTTTTTTTTGTTTTAAAACTTAAGCTTTTAACTTCTAAAATAAGTTAGGGATGATGAATGACAAATTATTGTATATTGACAAACTGCCAAACGTAATTCCGGTACTGCATTGTCCAAGTCTAAAAATAAGTAGATGCACAACAACACTGCACCAACTGCAAAATCATGTTCAATCTACTGAATATTGGATTTGCTCAATCATAAAATAACTTTTGCATGTTTTTATTCTCATTTTCATTATTAGTTTTAAAGATATAATTATGTGTTTATTGTAATACATATGTATTTGCTTTACTTATAATACAAGACTAATGTGATTTCTGTGATTTCAATTTTCTGCTTCGTAATTAGTGTTGTCACTAATTGAATTGTTGTCACTGAATTATTTACTTATTACAAGAAACGAAGCAATAAATCGAAATCAGAAACTGTTCAAATACGAATCGAATGATAATAAATAAATAAAAGCACAATATTGGCACTGAGCCTACGCAGGTTTATGCCTGAAACTGTATGGTTCGAATCATGATATTTTGATGTGGTTTTATGTTTTTAGAACAGGCATTCAATCGGGGCTTACATACTATCTGGGATACACCCAGACTGCAATTGGTAACAGAATTTTTTTTTAAACCTCTTTAAGACGACGTTAATACTACTAACAAAGTCTTAAATCCTATTTGGGAAGAACAAAACATTTTAAATTGAAGTCTGGGAGCACCCAAGATCCAGATTATTACTTTTACTTTTTTAACAAATCATCCCACATAACGCCATTGTTTTGTTACATGACATACACTGTAGTAAAATATTATTTACTTATTAACCAATTCAAGATCTACATTTAACTCAGTGCCATTACTAGAAAGAAATAAGTTTGTGTATATACAGGGCAAAATACGTAGTAGGTACATCAGGTACACCCAGATCCTAATACCAAATAAGTTCAACAGATCTACTGAACCAATCAGCAATTGAATAGCAGGACAGTTACTGAACCAAGTACTGAACTAAACTAAGTACTACCACCACTAGTACTGAAATTTTAGTCACCTAAAAGATAATAACAACGATTCTGATTTTTCTGATCACAAAAAACTTCAACAGTACCTACTAATCAAAGAATGGAAATACAAAAATACACTTATAGAATTACAACAAGATGAATGAGATAAAGATACTCGAAGAAGTAAATTCCACTAAAAGTCAAGAGTCATGGGTGTGTGACTGTGCACACAGCTGGTTAGAATTACAAAACAAAGTAAACACAACAGAAAAATCATAAAAACGAACACCCAATTTTACACACCATAGTATCCACATTTGTCAAAATAAAAGAAAAAAATTATCGAAGATGGTTCGATCACATGTAATAACGCCCAAACGATGATAGCGTGAAGCTTATCAGTATCAGCTTTTTATCAGCTTATCATTAAACGTTCAATTCAAATCATCTTCTTGGGTTGCTATAACTATGTGAATAACGACATAGACACCCGGAAAATTGTACCTAGACTAAACGGCAATAGTATACTACAATACATACCTAAGTAAGACTAATATAACTTATAGAATAACTTATTAGATTAAAAAATATTAGATTTTAAACAGTGAAATCACCAGTTATGACTGAAATCAGCGACTAGTATAACAGGGATGGCGAACTATGTTGTGCCTTTTTAAATTTAAGAGGAAATAATCAATTATTAGAAACTGAGAATAAAATTGCATTTATAGGGATTCATAAAAATCACGGAAATCTAACAATATAAAAAAGAATCGTAAATATATCTTCAACATATTGATATTGGAAATACCTTAGTTGCTACTTTCACATTAAATTACCAACGACAATTAATTAATAAGAGACACTGCCCTCCGTGACGCAAACCCACATCTGTCAAGGTAGCAAACAACCTTTAGACGCGGGAAACACCCTGCCGTCCTAAAACCTATAACGGCCTATAAACTATAAATCCTTCCGATACGCAACGTGAATCTTGAGACATGAAATTAAAACTTCAATTGCATTGTATAACGGCAGTACCACTATTCCAACCGACAGGCACGACTGCTTTGCGGTAGAAATACCTATCATATATAAGTCGGTTGGGATATCTACCTATCCACAGTAATAAAATTTGTTGTTCATTTAGTGCAAGTGAAAAATAGAGCTCATTTGTGAGACTACATACTCGCTGCGGTGTCTGTGAAATCCGATAACTACTTAACCCTAGGAGTTACGATCTCGTAGGGTTCTCTAAAAATCTAGGTTTTCAGGATAACTTCAGCCCCCTGACTACGACAAAAAAGTTCGAAAGGCATTCACATACTTCCCAAAACAAATATTGCAAACAACCAAAGTGCCAACAAAATATGATATTAAGTTTAAAACTGTAGAGTGATTTTGGACACTGATATTGCTACTAAAATATAATAATTTAGGAAGGAATATTTATTAGATAATAGAAAATACATACCCAGAGGGAATTTATCAAGTTCATAGACTGTACGTACTATTTCAATTACCGTTGGAACTGTTCACTTCAAATCTGACAATTGAAGATCTTTTAACGGCTCTATCATTATTGATGTAAATTTAATTTCTCAGAAATTTCAAAACCGTATCGAGTTCTTTTCGTTGGCCATAACAAAAGTTTCGCTAGCCCTAGTATACAGTACTGCACAGTGCAACATCAGCACACATCACTGAAACTATCGTGGTAATCTATTGGAGTATACTAAAGTGTAAATTTATGTGTACTTTCAGTGTTTTTGTGCTGAATGTCACCAATTTGCTCTGCGATTTTCTTTTGTCCCAATCGTGTTATTCCTTAGAAAGCATCCAGATGCAAGAGCAGACCCGTAACACCTGGACTTCGGAGTGGAGTTATTTTGCTGTGCGTCATTTGCTACTGCGAAAGCTATTTTTTATTATATCTAGAATGAAATGGTAAGTATTAAATACATTTTTATAACTAACGTAACTGAAGACAGAACACAATTGGAACCCGATAAAACTAGAATACCTTATATTACCCACCAAACATATCCTTGAAAATAAATTATGCTGGTCATATAGCACTGTCGTAAAAAATGTGTCGCGTCTAGAAAGCGCGTCATCGCACCACGTGCCTGACCTGATGAACGCAAGTCGGCGTTATTTGCTGCATAATTTACATAGAGATAGACCGGAGTCCCGTGGGCTTTGCACCCGTTGAATTTCTATTGTTTAGATTGGAAAACTAAGTGTACTCGTATTCTATGGTCGACTTTTGTCCCACGTACATAAATTAGAATCGGTCATGAATATCAGTAATACCTAAGCGGCTTTAAATTAAACAAAATGGTTTCTTAAACATTTGTTAATAATATCAGAGTTTCTCATTACGTTTCCAATAGCTATGGTAAACGCTGGATGTCGAAGAGGATGAACAAATCGATTACCTAATGGCGCTGGGTGACCACCCGACCCCGCGGAGATTGACTCATTTGCACTGCATTACATTACTGAGTGACACGGACAGCCACTCTCATCACGAACATTAATGAACAAATTGTTGTTCACGGTTTTCAATACAACTAGTGTGGAAACCCGTTTCAATTAAATGTTTCTTAAGTTATATTTATTCATTATTAGTTAAACAGAAAGCAGATTTAATTTTTTGAGGGACAAAAAAGAACAATGTGAACAATCTAATTTGGCATTATATGTAATTACTTCCTACATGAAAATTTTTCATATCAAAACATTGTGTTTAAAAGAACACAGATAACAAATGAATATTAATAATAAAGCCCTTATATGCTTTCACAAACAAGATCACTCGTGATAAAGTTACCAATTACCAAACAGATGTCTCATGTTGCCTTCGGTTCTGTGACAGCTATAGAAGCCGTATCTCATGCAATGCATTCAAGTACGTGCATTAGCCTCTCTGATCTCACTTGACGAACTTCTGACTGTAGTCAGATACCCTCCTTCATATTACTATCATGTAGAACAATGTTCATACTACAACATTCCTAAAACAATAGAAAGTAAACTTTATGGGTTCGATAATTTCATCAATAATTAGGTAATTGTGTTTTCACTTCATTCGTTTCTCCTAAACATACATGCACGTATGTAGGTACGTTCAGGTACTTAAAATGTTGATAAAGTCATTCTTTCTTCTTAGTCGGTCTCTTAATTACTGAAGGTCGTGTCTAGCTTGAAGTGCTGGTCGCTCGATGCGCCATGCTTCTTCACGGCGTCCTGTCTTCGGCGGTCTTTATAGTCTCGGTTATTGGTAAGTGAGCGACCGCGTGATCTTTCTTCTCCCGTCAACCTGGCCATTAAAACTCATTAGTCGAGTTTCATAGTCAAATAATATGCTCAATTTACGGCTTAGGCCGTTGCATAAGTATAGTCAACTCAAAATGTTTTTATTTACTACGTATGTAGATGCGTAAACAAGCTCACAACTCACCTGGCGTCAAATGATCCTACCTAGGCCCTTAAAGATTAGGATGGCCGGCTATTAAATACTGAAACCTCTATGGAGCAATTACCATTTCAATCCTCAGTTCTTAAAATGAACCACTGCGTGCATTCACGTTTTGAAGTCAATGGACTCCGGTAACCAGATTGGCTGTAACCTCATACTGGTAGTACGCTAAATGTAATGAAAAAAAATTCCATATCTAAAATCAATAACTAACCATGAAATTATAAGTTTTAGCCAATTTAGAACCCATTGACGTGTGTGTCTAGACAAGCCTAAAACACATGTCGCAATTGGCATGATCGCTTACTTGTACTTGTAGATCAGAAGACTAAATTGAACTAAATGTTGTCAAGTTCAATGAACTATGACTGACTAGCTACTCGTGATTAGGACACTTATTTTTAAATTGGCAATTTGATATCTACTATGTATTGAGTGGTTTAAATTGTATCAGGCGTAAACGAGGTTTTATGAAAGTTACTTGAGTTACCTAAATAAATTATCCAATACCTATCAAAAAACTTAACAACCTACCTGACAATAAGTGGTCATAGTCGTTCCTGAACGTCATTAGCGCCAAGGATCATAGCAGCATAGCTGAGCCTATCGCAGAGGACTCTGTCCAAACCTCGTTTGAAGCACATCTCTTTCTTTTTTTTTTTTTGTTGCTTAGATGGGTGGACGAGCTCACAGTCCACCTGGTGTTAAGTGGTTACTGGAGCCCTAGACATCCACAACGTAAATGCGCCACCCACCTTGAGATACAAGTTCTAAGGTCTCAAGTATAGTTACAACGGCTGCCCAACCCTTCAAACCGAAACGCATTACTGCTTCACGGCGGAAATAGGCAGGGTGGTGGTACCTACCCGTGCGGACTCCCAAGAGGTCCTACCATCAGTGATTACGCAAATTATAATTTTGCGGGTTTGATTTTTATTACACGATGTTATTCCTTCACCGTGGAAGTCAATCGTGAACATTTGTTGAGTACGTATTTCATTAGAAAAATTGGTACCCGCCTGCGGGATTCGAACACCGGTGCATCGCTTCAACACGAATACACCGGACGTCTTATCCGTTAGGCCACGACGCCGACATCTCATAGCATTGTGAATGAACGCAGTGATTCTAAGTAGAATGGATGCACTCTGCTTCTGTGGCGGGCCATGCGACGATAAAAAAGAGACGACGGGATTATCTCAAACAAATCCTCAGAGCACACCATAGAATATGCGTAACAAAACACAGAGATAACCTAAGTCCTTCCGAAGACCCAAATGTTCCTAACTATCCACGCGAGCGGCATTATAGAAACCCGAACTGCCTACTGTATTGAGTCAACGGGAAGTAATTGCTAGGTTCTTGGGAGCCCTAGTCTAGTCTTCCATATTAAAACGAACCTATGTATTAAAGACAAGTCACTTTTGAGGTGTGAAATACCGCTTTGCTCTCTTAGATAGTCTTAACATTTTAGATGCCAACCAGGCTGCTTTTACCATATCACATTCCCGATCTTGCGGACGGCATGGTAAACAGTCGACGTCGCCCAAAACAAGTCATTTCGGATCCTCCCGATCCACTGACGGTGCTTTTAGGTACCTTCAGCACCGGTCATCGTTTTAGTCGAACACGTCGCTTGCAACGAAGGGCCCGGCGAGTAAATTAACCCACAAACACAGCCTACTGAGTTTCTCGCCGGATCTTCTCAGTGGGTCGCGTTTCCGATCCGGTGGTAGGTTCTGCAAAGCACCGCTCTTGCTAGGGTTAGTTAACGCTACGCTAACGCAACGTCGTCAGGTTTGAGCCCTGTGAGCTCAAGACCATCAAGCTTAGGTAGGAAATAGTACATTGTGCACCAAGGGAGAAAAGTAGGACATTTCCTCCCGCGTATTGAGATGTCCTACTTTTTTCCCGCAGTGCACATACTATTTTTTCTCCTACCAGGCCGAAGTAGGTAGGAGAAAAATAAAATACCATATCAATATCATGTACAAGTAAAATATAAGCGTCCCGCGGTTTTCAATATTTGTTAAACAATTATAATTTACTCATGGACTTGTACATAGGTAATAAAAGATTATAGGACACAATTATACCCTGCCCAGTATCCCCAGAAAAGGGCGGAAGTCCGGCGATTTCCTCCTGACCAAAAAAAAAAAAGGCACAAAAAAAAAGGCAAAAAATATAATATATGTATTTGATATAAATATGCATACCAATGGAATTTCTCTAAAATCTGTTCGTTTTTGGGATGCTTAAATAAACTAACAAACAGACAGGTACGTAAAAAATTAGGTGATTTGGACTTGAGACAAACTTCTGTTGGAATAGGTATTAGGTACCTTTAATATGAATTATTAGGTAATAAATTACTATTTACATACAGGGATATAGTTTACAAAAAAAACATGCTACGACAACATTAAACTAACAAAATTAAACTAAAACTTAAACTAACACCATTTTTTCTATTCCTAGTTTTTTCGCCATTCGCAGGTAAATGAATTCAACCTAGTTCAACGCACTTGTTTTAGTCTAAATCAGTTAAACAAACTATTAGTAACGCCATCTCTTGAAAGCTGCATACAATTAACAAACTCATCGCATTTTGCCTCAGCTGATTAGTTTTGTAGTTTAAATATGCCAGATGGCGCTGTACATTCTAAATCGGATGTGCATGTGCGAATTTAGTGATAAATAATGTCAAGGCCAGTTATTATAACCACAAATTATAGTTTAAAATGTCTAATTGATATTGAAATGACGTTAATAATTCAAAGTTTTATGGTTTTGAACACATAAATTTTAACATATAGCTTATTTTGCTCAAACTTGTAAAGTGCAGTTGTCGCTTCCGCATCATAACCTATCATCCGGACTCTCTATGGACACACAAAACAAGGTAATTCTTAATGATTTCTAATCATTAAACTAAAAATATACTACTGATACCTACTTAAAATTGAGAATTAAATAACTTTAAAAAAGAAAAAACGATAATTGACGTGAATTTGTCTCCAAAAAATCTAAAGTGAATATTGCAAATTTTAAATTTAGCGCCTCAAACTGAGAAACGCATGAAGTTCGCGTTGCGAATCTGGCCGATTGATGTGAAAGATATTCCGAAGGCCGTGAGTGAACACGGAAATCGAGATGTGTGTGTGGTCAAAAAGACAGTGCAAGGTAGGGGTCGGGTGGCGTTTGTGATGGCAAAATTTTTGCAAATGGTGAGTTAGGAAATATTGACTTGTTGTGTCTTGAAATAAAATACTCTTTTGTGACAGTGAAAAATGCGTGTGATAAAACATTAATTTTGTGCTTACTGTTATTGAAATCCAAAGATTTAGTGATACGGAATCGGCAAATGGCGCTACAAATATCTAAAGTTGACACAACTACGCGTTTAGAAATCTTAAACATCTTCAGTTGCCAAATTCTAGGCACGCGGCATGATCTGTGATAAACAAAGAATAATAGTGAATCCTAAATTTCCCTTTATAGAGCTTGTGGACTTAGCAACTGGGACATCCAGCTTGGCGATTATAACGGTGTCAGCATGTTGCGATTTTTTTGGCCAGCGGTACTACTTTTTTAAACTCGTTTATAGAGGCGGCTAGAGGTTTCCGCGTCCCGTAGGGTCGGTGGCCTCCGCGGCGTCTTCTGGACTTAAATTACATAATGTATAGGTGTTGTTTAGAACATGCAACAAGTAGATATGTGTCGGCGGGCTAACTGTCAATGTGGAGTACAGTAAGCTCACTGCCCGCGGCCCCCATTAATTCGAGCTGCTGATGTCACTTATCTGCGCTCTCCTATCTAGCCCTATGACCGCCAATTTTTGCACGACAATCCTTTAAATCACAATGTAAAGATTTAACAACCAGATATTGTATATAATTTCCAGTTGTATAAATACAGCCTAAGTGATGCAAATCTAGTTCTGTCTTCAGTATACAAAATTGAATTTATATTATATGAATCAACCTTGTAGTTTCATTGCTTGCGAATTATATATATTAAGAAAGGTTGAAATAATAAAAAAGATTGTAACTTTTTGCAGCACGTTCACTGACATTAGCACCAACAATGGACCAGCAATTCTGCTTGCGCTGGAACAACCACCCTAACAATCTGACCGATGTGCTTGCGAGTCTTCTGCAAAGAGAGGCTCTCTGTGATGTCACTCTCGCTTGTGATGGAGAGACAGTCAAGGTAGGCTTTATCACTTAATAATTTTACAATAATTATGAAAATAAACATTAACATGTGACTCTATAGACCATGAGAGATGATATAATTTGTCACTATTAACTTGATTCTCAAAGAAAAAATATCCTACATAAATATAAAGCCCTTAAACTATATATATTTTGGTAAATAATGTCTAAAGAAATTATGTAAACACATTGTTGGAATAGGTAAATAATATAAAGGTGTTTGTGTTGTTAATAATTGTTGTTATGAATTCTGACACAAGAAAATGCAATTTATAGTAAACAAACATGAGTAATTTCAATTCATAACATAATATCATTGACGACAAAACTTTATTATATGTTTTTTTTTTTCATATTAGATTTTTTTGTGTTTAATATTTAATATATATATATTTAATCTTTGTAGAGAAGCTAAATGCTAAATTCAAGGTTCTACACACATTAATACTGATTAAATTCAAAAAACAGATTATGAATAAACTAATGATTACTTAATTCCAAGGACAGCATCAAAAGTCTGTCTTATACCTATATAAAGGATTAAATAAATTTTTTAGTTTGTATTTCAAATTGCTACCTTAGGCCATCCATTTAAAGCAGCCTTCAATGTAGTCATTTGAATATTGACTAGTTTCACAAGGTTATTTTTAACTTAATTTGTGCTTGTAGTCATAATATATACTATAAAAAAATAAAACCATTTTAAGAGCTGTAATAGAATACAAATGAGACTCGGGCCCCATGTCTTAAGGTGGGTAGCTTCATTCACGTTGTGAGGTGTATGGGTCCAGTAACCACTTTACACTATGTGGGATATAAGCTCAAGCACCCCCATGAAACAAAACTAAAAGCAGTAATGGTAGCTTAGTACTGTTTCAAATCAATTCCATTGTTTGGTTTTATGATGGACCTAATTTAAAAAAAAACTGCTCTGCATAAGCTTATCACATTTAATGTAGAATTAATCGGCCGATTTTTTTTGCTTAACATAGATGTGCTAAAGAGCAATGATGGATTGAGCCTGAACAATGCTAAGCCGAAATAGGAGTTGATAATTTCTTGAGTACCTCTACCCAACGTAAATGAATTTCATTGAAATAACTACTGACCTGTCCTGCAAACGAAACGCATCGCTTTTTTTCATTCAAGTAATAAATAGCACTATCATGACACTATGGTACCGATACGATCCGACCAGTGATTATTCAAAATTTATTAATTTTGCGTTATCGGGTAACGGCGGCTGCGCGCGCGTTTATGTAATTAAAATTTTGCTGAATTCATTTATTTTATGGGAATCTTAGCATTGACATAAGGTCTATCCACGGCATAGCCGTAAGTTTTTTTTTTTTTTCCTACCTAAGCTGATAGCCCTAGGGGCTATGTCAGCGTAACCCTAACTTTAGTAGGTGAGCTCACGGGGCTCAAACCTGATGACGTTGCTAACACGAACCCTAGCAAGAGTCGTGCTTCGCAGAATCTACCACCGGATCGGAAACGCGACCCACTGAGAAGATCCGGCGAGAAACTCAGTGGGCTGTGTCTGAGAGTTAATTTACTCGTCGAGCCCTTCGTCGCAAGCGACGGGTTCGACGAGAACGGTGACTGGTGCTTGAAGTACCTAAAAGCACCGTTAGTGGATCGGGAGGATCCGAGATGACGTGTTTTGGCCGACGTCGACTGCTTTCCATTCTGTCCGCAGGATCGGGAATGTAGTTACCGGCGGCCACGATGAGAGGGTTCTCGTGTCGTGCCGCTTTATCGAAGTGGTAGCCGTAAGAAAATAGCGGGCGTCTTACATATTAGGCCACGGATGCTTGAATAGCATCGTTTAGGACTTTCGTTGTAAATATATGAGGGCCATAATTTATACAGTAAAGAATTTAAGAAAGCTGTTCGTTCACATTACATTTTAGTAATCTAAAGGTCAATAACATGTGTAGACTGGCTGCTTCCTCCATATGCCATTTAAATTTAAATTCAAAACAATTAACTATGAAAGCTAAACTTTATGCTAATAAAATGCAATTTGTTTTGTAGGTTGGAAGGAGTCTGCAAGAAAAATGCATGTTTTAAAACTTTCTAATTTTTATGGCAGTTGTTAAGCGGGTTTTAGGGTCTTCCATCTAAATTCTAATTCATCGAATATATTATTATTGTCTGGCAAGCGCAAAATGTGTGCTAAGTTTGTTTGCTAGGAATGCATCGACAAACGCTTGCGGATCATGACTTGTTTTAATTAAACACCGAAAACGTTGTTAATAATCATAATTATTATTCACTCACGTTATATCTTCATTTGAGATGACCTTGAATGTTATTCTACAATTATTCGCCGTAAATTTATGTTTCGTGTTCTATCTAATAGTTATATTCCCGTGATGAAACACCGAAAAGAAATTTGCACGCGTTATTGCTGCTATAAATGTAATATAAGTACAGTAATGGTTGTGTATAAGTACAGTAATCTCAAACCCGCGAGCGTACGGTGCCCGCAATAAGATATACCGTGTACCGTGATCCACACGCGGGTGCTATTATAATCGGTACCAGTTATTGAGACTAACATATTTTCATACCTAGGCTTAAATAATTTGAACGAAAACTTATTATCCTTTTTTTTCTAGCACGAACGTCTATTTTTCAACTATAGAAAACATCGATAAAATTATTTAAAAAAATATGCATATGCATATGTAATAAATATATTTTTATTTAGGACACAGGTGAAGACCCTATTATAATAAAAATATTTGTGTGTGACTGTAGGTGAAAGTATAATTTGACCAAAATAAATTATTTCTTATAGCCGAAAGTAACCGATAAGCCAATATTCTAAATCGCAAAGTTATTTTGGGCATAAGATTTAAATGTATGGCCTTTCGAAAGTATGTATTTTGTTTTAGTGTTATTAATCGAGTGAAAGAAAAGAATAGTGCGTAAAGCGATTCCATATTTGAGTAAATAATAAGTATGTTAAATATATTTTCCCGAAGTTACGAAAAACCTTGTTAATAAACATTTACTACCTAATTAAAATTACAATAGGTTTGCCAGAATGGTAGTTATGCACTGTTTTAGAATACAAACTGTGTAAGAATTGTAGAGACCTTCACATATCTCTGCATCATTTCTTTTGTGTGGATTCTACCCATTACATTTGTTGAATAAATTTAACGTGTTTTTGTTCTTTATTCTAGGCACACCAGACAATATTATCAGCATGCTCACCATATTTTGAAAGCATATTCCTGCAAAATTCGCATCCACATCCCATTATATTCCTTAAAGATGTACGATTTGCAGAGATGAAATCGTTACTGGATTTTATGTATAAGGTAAACTCCAATACAATTAAAGGAACATTTTGGTAACTAAGCATTTAAAATAATCAAATGGAAAACATATTCAAATATCATTGTTTTCAGGGGGAAGTAAATGTTGGCCAAAATATGCTACCAATGTTCCTAAAAACTGCAGAAAGTTTACAAGTTAGAGGTTTGACAGAGAACAATACATTGAATCCGAAGGTAATTTTTTTTTCGGCTACTATTTTAACTTTCTAATGTACCTAGCTGGACAACTTTTTGGTGGGAACGCGACAAGTGAAGTTGTGTTACTTTTTTATTTTTTTCATTTAGTGTTTCTTAAGGTTTAAATGTGTAATAACGGTGGTTTATTAACTGTTTACAATCTGTGAAATTCCACAAATGTGAAAAAACTGGAACAGCCACCGGGCGTAGCTTCTCGGGTACTTCCAAATATTACACTGAAAGGGTCTCAGTAAATAATCACTATTTTACTGAGAATATAGCTCATCCCATCTTATCTCGTGTCATTTAAGTTAATCCCAATTGATAAAACTATCAAATTATGGCCTGGTCACGAGAAAAGTTTAAATGAGGAGATGATTGTTAAACTATGACCAGAGCTGAATGTAAATACCGTCGTCTATGCATGACGAAGTAAAACTGGATTCCATGATTGCTTCAAAACAGAAATATTAAAAATGTTTAAAGTCAAAAATATTACCTAACTAGCGACCCGCCCTCGCTTCGCGTCGGAAACTGTAATTTATTATTGATTTCTCCGCTATTTAATGGGTGTTATTATACATATAAACCTTCCTCTTCAACAACTGTATCTATTAAAAAAACCGCATCAAAATCCGTTGCGTAGTTTTAAAGATTTAAGCATACATAGGGATATAGGGACAGAAAAAGCGACTTTGTTTTATTCCTATGTAACTACGCTTTATTATAGGTTTCATAATTAAACAACCATGTTTCAGTTAGAATTATATTTGTCGCTACGAATTTTGCAGTCGGAAGAGCGATCGACGCCAGTGGTGGGCGCGGAGAACCTATCCCGCGCGGAGTTCGCGACGCCCCCCGCCGCGCACTGCGGTCCCCCCGTCGGACCCGCCCCGCCCCCCGCGCACCCCGCACACGCCCAGCACCCCTCGCATCCCGCACAACACGTGCCGCTCGAGAAGAGGCGCAGGAAGAACTCCACTCTACCCAGAGACGATATCGACAACAATCTCTACCGCCATTATGACGTGAGCAAACCATATTATCATTTTTCGAGATTAGAGCCAAATAGTAGTAACTAAATTCGTTATTTAAACTAAATACAAATTTATCTCCAGGACAATAAAAATAGTATTTATTTATTTATTTCATTGATATGAGTTCTAAGGTACCTTGAGGCACCTTGAGATATGAGTTCTAAGGTAAATAGACGACTAACATATTTTGTGTTTGATTCATAACAAGAATAAATGAGGCCGTCAGCACAAAAGTGGCCTAAGCTTACCATCGTTAGTATGGAGATAATGAGGTTTGAATTTACTTTTACACAACTTCGTAGGCAAAAACAATACGCACAAAAATAATGTTTACAAAGCCATCTGTTATCTATAGGTGAAACTAGGGATAGGCCGCTTTTGCAAATTTATCAGATATGTTTTAAATAATTTGCAATATATCGTTTTTTCGCATTAAAAGTGTACAATTTACAAAAATATTCGAAATTGAGTTAATATGCGGAATCATTTGGTATCACCAGTATTTTTCTCATAAATACGGTCAAAAGAGCGTAGTTTTAGTTTTTTATTTAGTTAACCTATATTTTAACTAGTATTAACAGAATTAATACATAATTTTATCTTTCATTAAAAGACAGATAATGTAACTGGTAAAAAATAAATGTTTCAATGATGATTAATATTAAAAATATTACATGTTATACCTTTAAAACACTCCTAGTAAAATTAGTAAGTTTTGAGTTTATACAGTTTTAATACGAGAAGACGATATATCTAAGCACGAATATCAGAGATTGTGGGTTAGGCCACTTTAGCGCGGACGGCCTCTGCTGATAGCCTTGAGAGGCTATTTCAGCTTCACCCTAACGTGTGTAGGTGAGCTCACGGGGTTCAAACCGGAGTGTTGCTAACACTGACCCTAGCAAGAGCAGTGCTTCGCAGAATATACCACCGGATCGGAAACGCGACCCACTGAGAAGATCCGGCGAGAAACTCAGTGGGCTGTGTCTATGGGTTGATTAAATGATGATGTTGCGTTGCCGAAACAGGTTCCGGTGAAGAGCGGGAAATGTTCCACGGGGTCTGGCTCGGAGCCGTCCACCCCGCCGCCCGCGCACACCCCGCACGGCGCACAGCGGCTCGGCACGAGGTCGCCGCTCGTCAAGCAGGAGCCGGACTCCCCCTACATGCCGCATGTGCCGCACCCGTCGCCGTTCGAGCAACAACACCTGCAGGTCAGTTACCAGTATCAGTACCAGATATCAGTACCACTCAACTGTCAATGTGGAATCACATAATGAATTTCCTGATTGCTTGGTTTTTTTTAATTTGAAAATATGCGCAAAATGCAGTTGTGTTTTGTTTATAATTAATGTTAATAAATTTAAAGAGAACTAGGTGAATAATTATATTTATTAATTGTTGACAAACAAGGAAATAGCTGAGTTTTGGAGCAGCTCTCTGTATTTTAAACTGTATGTTTTGTGGAAATTGCTGTGAAGAATTGTTTTAGATAATAATAATAAAATCCCAACGTACTACCTGCCAGTATATCAATGCATCTCTAATATTGTAACCATGTTTCCGGTGATAATTATTGCCACATACCAGCCTACAAACATTTTGTCTGGAAATGTGATTTAATAGAAAGATTACCTAAAAATAGCAACCATATTTTTGTGTTGAAAGAATGATCGTTTTAGTTCATATGCAAAATCAACATTTCAACACCGCATTCATCTCATATTCACTAAGACTTAAAAATTTACATACTAATTTCTAAGATATAGACAGAAATCGGCTAGTCAGCCTTAAGCGGTGTATTGTTCGAAACTGCATACTTTTACCAACAATCTTCGGTTCCCATTCTTCAGGGAACATTGCCTACCCTAACCATTTTAAATCAGCAAATATTTATATATGTATACAGTATTTTTTGTGCACAATTTGTAAATACGTAGCTTAAATGAAAAGATGAAACAAATGAAATTTCAGAACATCGGAGTTACTGACATGGCATCGATATTGTCCCAGCCACCGATCAATAACGATTGCAATGAAAGTGAACCATCGCTGCCGCCGCACCCAGACCAGACGGACACCATTGACGGTATGTTTTTTTTTTTTTAATTTATAACGACGATCGCCAACGATTCCTTTCTATTTGTGGGCAAATTTAACGTTTGCATGCCATTAAGGTCTAACGATCTGAATTTTAATAAAGATGAATTTCATTAGTCGTTTCGGATTGAGTTACGTAACATTTTTGGCGGTCGACAAATTTATTGTCTTGCTAAACGGAATCTTTGTCAAGAATTATATTAAATAAAATTATCTAAAAATAGTTTATTTTTTTCAGTCATCTGCATTATAATAAACCTTCACATTCTAACAAAATTTCGTAAAAAAATATCTTCACATTATTTCCTAACAAAGATTCTAATTTTAAATGTTTGCATTATTGGTTTTTAAATATATTCTGAAACAATGTATAATAATATCATTCTTGTACATTGTTTACAAAAATATTTTTATATAAGTTGCATGAACAACAAAAAATACACTGCATGAACTGTCTTGTCGCTTATCAGTCGACTACTACTCGCACTAATAAATTAACAATCGCTTCTTTGTGTTTCGCTTCTGTAGATATTCTTTTTACTATTTTATTATAAAAATATGAAGAAATCGGTGTCATAAGATTTCTGTACAGTACGATTTGGCGCCCCCGAGGGACATAGGTCGTGCGATGTTAGGTCTTTGCAATGTTAGGGAGTGACGAAATATCTCACGATGGTCGTCTGGGCTCTGACACGCCTGTTTGATTAGGGTATGCATGGATTAGGAACAGGTTGGGGAATTAGCCAAAAAAATAACAAGTTGCTGAAGTGTGCCGTAGATGAGTGATTACCGATAGAATAAAAAAAACGAGTGATTGAGTGAGCATGCTGTTTTCATTGTGGAAAAAGAAAGGAAAAGAAAAACTAATCGAACATCTTACAGGTGATAATTTCGGAGTTGATGAGAATAAAAAACCGTGGGAACCGTTCAACAACAAACTTTCGAACGTTGAAAATCTCGTCAAATCTTTTAAACTAGCTCTGACTCAGAGACCGTTTAGTGGTCCCGAATCCTGCAACGTATGCGGTAAACTTGTGAACAATTTAAAAAAACATATGAAATCACATAATCCGGAACAGCACAAGTGTCCCCTTTGTCCAATAATATTGACTCGCGCGGACAATCTCAAAAGGCATCTTCGTATGAAGCACTGTTCTGTTTTGAGTTCAGATAACTTATCCAATATTCAGAAAAAATGTGGATTGACTTAGTAGAGAAAAAAAATTATTATATAATATCATAAACTTGTGTTAATTCATGATAGTTGAGGAAAAGTTACTGTCCCATGGATGAGCTTGTAATAATTCAATTTTTAACACTAACATTCTAATGAATTTGCTGCTATGTTGGTTCCTAATACTTGCCGTTAAATTCTAGAAATAAGGTGTTGTGTGTTTTTCGTTTGCAAATAAATTTATCTTAAGATTTAATATTCTTTCAAAACAACTAATCAAAGAGTTTTAACTTATGAATGTCGTTCGATGTGTAAATACGGTCAATATACAATAAACTCACGATATAAATGTAAATTAAATAAAATTATAAATTGAACCACATTTATAAGTAATCAAAAATGTAATTAATTTACTAACTAATTAGTTTATTAACTAACGTTAGGAAAAATGCTTTTTTTTGCATTAGGCTTTATCAGAAAGGAAAAAGTACAAAATCAGTATTAACAATTAACGTAGTATAATAATCTTTGTGATAAATTGAAAATTGTGATTCTTATGGTTGCCTTTAAGAACTAAACAATCTACAATGTAATTAGTTGTAATAATGAAATTCTGATCGCGATTCGTAAACTCTGAACAAGCTTGTTAATAATCATCTCAACTAATAAACCACTTCCACGTACTATTTTCATTTAACAATTGTCTTACAAATAATGTCGTCTTTATATAGAGTTTACTGAAACTGCTGTAAAATGATCCACTCTTTTATTGTATTGCTTTTTTTTTAGTAAAAGAAGCCATGTTTATTTGTTCTAGAATGAAGACAACACTAATTCCTTTTTTAAATATTTCCTTGAATAACTTCAAACCTCATTGGTTCAATAGTCGAACAACCAAGTCACCTATGAAGTAAATCGGTTGAGATGTTTATAAAAACGTAAATCTCCAAAGTCCACAATATACCTCATGATCTCTTATTGTTCCTTTTAGTTTGTATTACAAATCTAGCACTATCACAGTGCTCAAGACTGATATTTTGCTTTTGTAACTTGTGTATTTTTAATTTAACTTATTTTCCCATTTAACCTGATAATTAACGTACATAACTTGTAAATTTAACGTTATTGTGTGTTTGTTGCAAATATACTCTCCTTTATTTATACCTCTTTTTTTTTTCATTACACCTTTCCTGCTTTTATATGATTAACAAACAGCAGACCTATTTCTCTCTATAAATCGCCTTCCATATTTGGTGACAGTGAATAACAAAACTTCATGCAAAAATAACAATCTAAAAGTAACCAGCAACACCATTTCTTCAATATCATTTGGTTCATTTTGCATGAATCTCCATTGAATATATTTTGTTAAAAATAATTTCAGAATTTTATTTAACATATTTAAACTTTTCGTATCCGATATACAAAGCTTTTATAATAGCGCTAGGTTAAGCATTAGAACAGCGGTAACAAATATACTTAGCTTTAAAATAGTGCTCAATTCCATCAATTAGTAATAAGTTAGTTAGTCCTCTCAAAACTGACATGTAAAAAAAATAAACCGTCTCCTGAATGAATCGCTCTACGCAGCGAATGTTGCAGCACCAACGTCTCTCTCAGTAACGCGCTAATGGCACATGATCATCAGAAATCTGAGTATTTTAGAACCAGCTCGAATTAACAAGTAATATGTAGAGTTGAGCGGTTGGGACTGCGGCATTGGTTCGTGAGGTGATGAAATGTGAGTGTCGCGGTGAGAGCGCGCGGTGGAGTGACGGATGGCTGGTTGCAGGCTCTAAGGGCTGGCACATGCGGCTGACGTTCGAGCGAGTGGCGGGCGGCCTCAACCTGCACCGGTGCAAGCTGTGCGGCAAGGTGGTGACGCACATCCGCAACCACTATCACGTGCACTTCCCCGGGCGCTTCGAGTGTCCGTTGTGTCGCGCCACGTACACGCGCTCGGACAACCTGCGCACGCACTGCAAGTTCAAGCACCCCGCGTACAATCCGGACACGCGCAAGTTCGAGCCGCCCACGCCGCCCGCCGCCGCGCCTGCGCACGCGCCCCTGTTCGCGAACCACCTGGACGCGCCGTTCGACTGATCGCGCGCGCCGCTCGGTCCCGCCGCCCTCGCGTCCGAACCGCTTCCTACTTAGGATTAAGCTCAAGTGCTATTACTTAAAACGGGCCTCTGTTGGCGCTCCTCGTTTTTAGTATTGTCTCGGTTGTGCATGTGACTTGCCCCGGTGTGATCTTTTCTAAGGTTTCGCGTCAGGAATTTACCTATAATATTATTGATGTTACTGAATCGATGACTCGAAGCGTGTACGTAGGTAGATAATTTTTTTTTCTATACCAATCGCTATACGGGAACGGGCAAAAGCAATAATATGAAGTTAATTTTATTATTACCATATTATTTTTTTATATTGTATCGATAGGAATCTTAAGATAAAAAAAATAACTAATTTCGAGTAGCGGTGCGACCGTGAAGTGATGTTGGCTATTAACAGGGCCTCCGGAGTGAGCCTGCTCTTTCTTGTTATATATTTATTCGTTAGATAGGAAATTATGAGTTTCCTGTAGCTAATTATATTTATTTTATTATTAAATCCTATGGGTGGAATGGAATTACATCAGAGAAGGATGTTGGGGACTGGCAAGAGAATGTGATCTGTCGTTAGTCAACGACATATAAATATTGACTGAATCTCAGTGTAGATGCATTTTTAACTCTATGAGGCCTTTGCAAGATGGATAATTATTAAGGATTTGTGATGTTTTAAAGGATAGCGCCTAAGGAAACATACGAAAAGATTTTTTTTTATACTAGACTAGTTGATCTATTTACAGAGATTGTTTTTTTTTTAATTCTTAGATTCTATTGTCTGATTCAAAATACTTTTTTTTATATTTACATAACCATATATGATTTATTAGTGTTGTTTGTTTTGATTGATCAATTAGTAACATTGATTTGAATTATATTCAGTTATCTATTAAGTTATGGAGTAATCAATGTTGAGATGTTTTATTATTTTATCGTTAGTAGTGTTTTAATTGTATAACGGGCCGCGGTCGGCGCGCCCACTCACGTGTGATCGGTGCTCGGGGTCGATGACCTCTTTCAATCAATTAATTTAAGACGAATAGAACGGAACGTTTCGAGGTTACGCATTTAGTAACTAATATTGGCATTCTACGATTGGGACTAACCTAGCGTTTATCTAATTATTATTATTTTTTATTTTCAATTTTAATATATAAGATTGTTACAATTTTAGCTAAACATTTAGAGTGGTACGGTAACTGAAATGTGATAAAATGGAATGGTGCTAGAACCAAGAGTGTTAAGACGCTACGATTCGACTTCTATGATAAATATTAATAAAGTTTTAAATGGTTAGTTACTTTACATAAACGTAAGGCAGCTAACGTCCGGTCAAGGTCGCATCAGTTCGGTCAACGAGTAATCGAAGCGTGGTTCGTGACGAAGTAAAGAGATTACAGTATCACTCGAGTAAAAAGAAAAAAAATTAACTTCATTTATCGATGGATTTCAAAATTACTAATACCTTACTAGAATTATAAGCCAACATATTTGTGTGTAAATCAGACCTTATTGCCTACCAAAACGCAAACGTTCGTCGAGTACGTTAGGGTAACCGCAGATCCGAATAGTGAATCCGTGAGCGTGTCTCATAACAAAAAAAACGGTTGTCTGTAAAGTCGGCTTACTGACGATAGTTGAACGTGACAACGTCATAAGAAAATACGCCTCAGAGCGAGGTAACGCCGCATGGTCATGTTTTTCGTGCGTGCAGCTGGCTCCATCGAATTATAAGACGTTGTCACGTCAAAACCGTTATGACGTCATCGCTGTCGAGTAGCTGTGAAAATGCAATTCCACTTGTGCAATTTAATCAAATAGTCATAACTCATAGCTAGATTAAACAATTGTCTATTGAATATAGGGGCCCACTCACAGTAGTAGGAAAGGAGCTCGCGTGTCCCCACATAAAATCATAAATATAGTCACCAAAACATATTATTACTTCCACAAAGATTTTATATTTACTTTTAAGTATAGCAAAGATTTTTTATAACTACCGTTCATTAATTATTATTGTGGGCGCTTATTATTTGATAGTTCATTTCATACTCAGTGCAATATTACTAGTTATTTAATTACGTAACCAAACTAAAGGATATTTTAAAATATATTAATGATATCATTGAAAGAGAGTAACTACCTATTTGTATTTTATATATAATATATATATAAGTGAACTACTCCCTAACTTGTATTTAGTGAATCGCAGTTTGGGTTACGGTGATGTACAGGTTTTATAGCTGGTAATATTAAGGAAATTAGCTTGTTTACCTCTGCCAATCGTAATAGTTGTGTACTGTTTAATAATTTATTGTCGCGCAGTTAAAAGTATATTGTTGAAATAGATCATAGCTATCCGATACGGGTCCGCCGTCCGGCGAGTCAATCACTGTGCTGATCTCCCGGTCTCTTTGCGCCGCGTTAAACGCTTCTTGCATCTAATCGTTAATGCATTTTATATAACTATAAACACGAGACCAATTTTTAAATATTGAATTCGCTATATATAGCGAATCGATTGATTTAGTGTACCATAAAAAATATTAATTTAGATATTTTAGGTTAGGATACTATGATAGTGTCTGGCCAGAATATTTTGGAGTATCACATCGTTTGGCTCAGAAAATATCTAACTTTGATCTCTTTTCAGCTTTCAAAAAGTATGCAACTTAACAATTTGTAAAGATGACCACGTTTGAACTTAATGAAAGCTAACTTTATGCCATATGGAATTTAAACATAAGGTTAACGAATTACTAAATTAGTCTTATGAAAAATGAGGTCTTTGTGGACCTAGTCACTTGTTTGGCCAATCTAATGAATATTCCAATTTATTGTATATTAAAATTTACAAGCGGTATCACAAGATGTGACCATTCGAATTCAATGGAGTGCAGGATGAGCTCTGAGGTTATTCAGGATAGCAATGGTCTAGTTATGTTTATTTGTTTCTTATAACATTAGAGAATTTGTTATAGCGTTATAATATCACAATAGTGTACCACTAATAGGGAGGGGGTGTCAAATCGTGTGCCTAACAACTCTCTTTTTGTTATGTTATTACATGAAATTTTATGAACGATTTGTTGTTTATGAATATTTTGTTTTTTAATTCCTTGGTTTGATGCCTCCGTTAAAGTTTATTTTATATGATTTTGTTTTATGCAAGCAGTTAATGCAATTTTATTTTCACATTGTTTGATGTTATGTAATGCAATTTTAACATATTGCAAACTCCTGCATTTATCTGTTGTATTTATTACTAATTTTTTTTTTACATTAAATTGTGGTATGTTACAAAAGCCGTGTAGTTTCAGTTGTGTGTTTTGATGAACAAGGTCCCCCCAGTAGGCGCACCGTAGCGATCTATAGAGCCAGGTATGGTATGGCGACAGTGTTGTTCGCAGCCCGCCACCAGGCGCACGTGTCGGGTCCGCACGGCCCACAGTACTCGTACCACAGCATGTTCGTCGCGGCCGCCGAGAGCACCGCGCTGTGGCGCTGCAAGTCGTGCGGCAAAGAGGTGTCCAACCGCTGGCACCACTTCCACTCGCACACCGCCCAGCGCTCGCTGTGCCCCTACTGTCCGGCCACGTACAGCCGCATCGACACCCTGCGCTCGCACCTGCGTCTGAAGCACTCCTCGCTGCTGCTCAAACACTAAACGGTCAACGAAAGCAGACGCCCCCCGACCCCGACCTTGCTCTCGAATCTCATGCGAATATTCACGTTTTATGTGTAACCTTTTTAATTGTATTGATGTGTAAGCGCGTATTTTGTCGCACGTATTTGTGCATTTCTTATAGCCGTTTATATAGGTAAGTATATCGTTGTATTAACCGAACATGACTAACAGGGTAAATATCATCAGAGTTAGTGAAAGTTGTTCAAAACGACTTATTGTTTATTAGACCAAACTTCATTTGCTATAGAAACGAAAGTTAATTTTTGCAACGATTTCAAAATAATTTAAGGCGAGCGTTCCTGAATCTCAAATTTAAGCTTTTTCCTAAAATTACCAAGCATGAATTTCTATCTTAAACCATCAAACGAGTTTATAGAAAGATATTTAATTAATTAAGAGATAATAATTAATAAGATTAATAAGATTTGACTTCATAAAATTTGTAATCTCACAAAATCTCGAAATCTATCACAATCATTGAATTTATGTATGAACGAAAATTAGGGCCATACGTTTACCTGAAGTTAACTGATTGTTCCATTCATAGAAGGAAATAATTAAGATTTTTTTCTGTTTGACCTAGAAAGTATACCTTAACTTATTTTTATTGAAATATGTAAAATAGTAAACTATAACTTGTGAATTAACAAAACGATCTCATTAGAAACCTTCAGTCATCTCGCAATGTTCAACTAAACTCGAGACTCTCACAGAGTCTTGTTAATTACTGATAGCTCTGAAAAGGATCAATACACCTTTTTGCTTAAGTATGCTATTCTAATTTTTTTTCATTTTTTATTCAAATAGAAAAAAAAACTGAACGACTGTTAATAGCGCATCTTTTAAAATTTTAAATTATAATAAAACAAAAGAAATTTCGGTTGTCTTGAAATAACAAGACTCGCTCATAAAATGTACTTTTTACCATTTTTATTTTGTTTTGGCAGGGATATTTTCATAAGGAAACTCGACTAAAATTCTTGGCTCATAACATAACTGATCCAAAGTACCAAAAACTACGGCTAGCCGCCTAAAAATAGTACATAGTTAAGTTTGAAAAACCTTTTACTTATAGATTTAGATGGGAAAAAATTGGCCTGAAATTTAACCCGTGAACAGACTATGCCACTGGTAATTTGAATTGACAAAAATTATCAACCATACAACGCTCGCCTTAATTGAACCATAGTACCTGTAATATTCTTCAGCGTGTTATCCTGCAGTCATGTGTTATTAAATGAAGGAGAAGGAACTTTTTGTACGAGAAAAATAAACGAAATAAACTGTCAAGCGGGAAGATAAGACTGAATCGGCAACAGCTTGTGATTGTAGGAATGGAATAAAGGGTTGGTTGTACATAAATATGATTTCAACTATTTAGTTAGGATAATATAATTGGAAATTACGACTGCGTGTTCAAAATTAAAGTAGACAACGCGATCAATGTATCGATTAGTATACGTTTTAAAATTATATTTTTGTATTACTATTACAAAAGTAAGTATATTAACATTGTGCCATTAATAAAAATTTATCACGCAGAACATGGCAAAATTTCAACTGCAAAACAGTTTTAGTTTATTTCTTCGATTTGCTTGACCCGTTTATACTTTGCTGAAAAACGTAATTACCTACAAGTTAGTCACAAATAGATAACGTGACAATATTTCAACTAAAAGATTCTTGTAAGCTTTTAATGTTTTGATGTACTCGTAGATTACAGTCGATAGATGAGTAGTAACGGTTATCTGTGTACCACTGTTTGAATCTTTAAAGTATTAAATCACGAATTTAATGAACGTAAATGTCTAAGATAATCCAAATTTTGTGTCGTAAGTATATGTTGTGTGTTAGATGAAAAAGGTCCAAATAGGATTCGTAGATTAGCTTCATCAAAAATGTTTACATCATAAATGTGTAGTCATTTCTGAATTTTATCAATTTTGCTTATTCTCTAGGGGTAGTTTACAATTTATGAAATAATCATTACTTATAAGATGTGCTAGCATACCTAAGTCCCAATCTAAGAATGTAGGTATTTTAGGTGTTCCACGCGTGGAATCATCGTGAACTTATAAAATGACACGAACTCAATTCGTGTTTTTGTTATGATATATTTTAGAAAACTAAGTTTACCGTTATTGTTCGCGTTGTTTTTATTGAATTCTGATTTTGCTCAATGTTTATTTAGGTAGTAACTGTTTCACATGCCAATGCATTTTAATAAGTACGTCGTGTAGATGTAAGGTTGTAAATAAACTCATAAATATTTCGTGTCAAATCAGTGTTTCCTTTAACAAGTCACCAACCATAAACATGAAACTATTTTATTCCTCTTTCGATAATATGGAAATACAAATGGAATGGCGGGAAATATAAAATCACGTACAATAAAAAATTTAATTCGTATTAGTCAATCTTAAAGCATGCCTAAACTTTATAGAACACAAACTAACACGAATTCGTTACAATTTTAAATTTAATTTACAATAATTAAAAAACTTAAACTAGAATTTACTTAAAATAAATAAACTGAATTAAACATGGCTAACTATGGCAAGTTTAATTCCCGGCATAACCCAAAGACAGGTGTCGTAAACATGGCAGTGTCAAGCTTATGAACCCTTAAAATCCACATAATACAAAACGTTTTTACAACATACAACTCACATCAAAATACACAGACAAACGATTATAATATGTAATCCCGACTATCACAGATTGTTCTACGTACTATTAGAGATTTTTTTTATGAATCCACGCAACGATTTTTTATTCTTCAAGCTAATGTGTGAGATAACATAAACGGATGGAAATTTCGGATATGAATTTATCGAACGATCAATTGCGAGGCCTTGTTTCGTCGAAGGGGTCCAATGTGTATATGTGTGGATACAGTTACAAAATACATATTTGACATTCAACAGTTTTTCTTATTCGTGAAGCCGCTCGACATTGCCGCTCGTACCTGGTGACTCCACGATAACACTAGCTGTATTTACAGTTGATAATTTATCATTTGCATCGCCACTTTTCGAATCGTCTGTATCCTCTTCTGATGCTTTAGAATTTTCGTCTTCGTCTGCATCGATCTTCTCTGATGCGTTTTGTTTGTTTTTATTCTTCTTAAATTGTTCTTCCATTTCTTTAAATTTTAGGGTCAAGTATCTGTAAACAAAATACAGTAATTATTACGAAAACTTAAATTCATTGAATAGCATACTCGTAAATATATCTATCTGATTTTAATAACATAATAGGTGAGACTATTAATAAATATTTCTTAGGGCTATGAAGATATGCACCCTCAGATGTCTTAAGATGGTAATGGATACTCATGATAAATTTTTTTTTTATTGCTAGATGGGTGGACGAGCTCACAGCCCACCTGGTGTTAAGTGGTTACTGGAGCCCATAGACATCTACGACGTAAATGCGCCACCCACCTTGAGATATAAGTTCTAAGGTCTCAAGTATAGTTACAACGGCTGCCCCACCCTTCAAACCGAAACGCATTACTGCTTCACGGCAGAAATAGGCAGGGCGGTGGTACCTACCCGCGCGGACTAAGAGGTCCTACCACCAGTAAATGTAATGCAATGTTTATAGGGAAACTTTATACCTAATCCGTGTAGTCGTACATTTAAGAAACTAATTCAATTTTAATCTAGAATATTTAAACTAAATAAACAGAAACTAAAACACGCAAATCTTACTCACTTATCAACAAGCGGCCCACTATAATCTTCTGGAAACTTGGGTCGATGCGGCAAAATAAATTTATATAGACTTTCATTAAGTACGTATAACTGAGTAGCAGAATCACATCGAACGTTGAACCACCAGTCACAGGTTAGGCCGGCCTGCGAGAATATTGTGCCATTTGGGCACAGAAAAGAAGCCTGTCCACCGTTGAGGTCACAATAATGCCATACCTGGAATCGTAAGTAAGTATTAACACGTAATACTTTTAATATGTTATGATTTTTTTATATTCAGTGACATGAACCCGCCTACCACCAGAGTAGAGTTGATCCATACAACCTAGAGCCACTGCGTTCATCCACAGCGCGTTTCCAGAGATCTTTTTTGCCACGTACCATCCGGCTTTGAAATGAGCTCCCCCTCTACGGTGTTTCCCGAGCGTTATGACATATCCTTCTTCAAACGAGGCTTGTGGAGGGTACTTAACGGTACGCAGTGGCCTGGCTCTGCCCCTGGCATTGCTGACGTCCATGGGTGACGGTAACCTCACCATCAGGTGGGCTGTATGCTTGACGGCCTACAAGGCCAATAAAAAAATGTAGACTACAATGCTGTTGTTACCCATCTTAGTGTTCGATTACCAGAGCCCGGAAATACCGCAAAGTGCACTTTTAATAACGACGATACAAGTCTTATTCTGACGTTGAAACTAGGACGTTGCTGCGGAGAAATAGGCAGGATGGTGATACCCAATTACCCAGCTAGCCAGTACGAGCATCATGCCCAATAACTAATTTACTGGTAGTAGGTGGTGGTAGGTAGAATGAAGAGCTAAGAGAATGAAAGTTGGAGAAAATATCACTGTTACATTGGATTGAGGAAGAGAAAGGGACAGTAGTGCTAGGAGCTTAGCTACGCATATTCTGATTAATAGACAGAATCATTGATGTATAAGAGCAAACCCAAATTGTCATTGCCACTGTAACTAGACTAATTAGACATCGGCAAGTAATTTACCCTAGATTTTAGTCAATAAAATAAACTGAATTACTTATGCTATGAATTATGAAACGAATGTTATTACTATTACTAATTACGTTTATCTAGTCAGCGAAGCGATACAAGCTAAAATGATTCTGTTAAAATCATAAAAGAGATTTTTCAACATCATTATTTTTTATATAGGTATTTGTTAATTAATGCTGAAAACTGAAGCTGCCATCTCTTCAGAAGTCTCTCTCTCTCTCTCCCTCTGTATAGGCTTGATAGATATTTTTATTCTTTTCTAAATTTCAAAGTCCATAAAATCCTCTGAACTATATCTACTACGCTTATACTTACTACCTACGTTAATTTACCCCTAATATGTCTGCAAAATACCTGGCATCTAGTTTCGGTATCAGCGAAGAATCCCTTATAACGCTGAGTCTTGCAGTTAAAAGATGTCTGTGGTATAGCGGTGAGTATAGGGTAATCTATTCCTGGACTCCCCGGAGTACCCCCTTCTTCGTCAGATGTTACTGGCAACGGAAACTGTTGACTAGTACTCCCATGTAATGGGTAATCTGAAATAATTCAATCAAATGATGCATTTAATGTCTTTTCAGTGAAATAAATAGCAAGAAATATTTTTATAATACATATACCTATCATCATTTCTGATTAACTATATTTTATATAAAGAAAAGTCACCACAGTTCAGTCCCATCTTCTCCACATGAAAACTATTTTTTTACTTTTTCTTATTGCTCTCAGTAGCTGTTGACAAGTTTTATTATTCTCAAAAAAATAATTGGAAATAGTTTTTCAAAAAGTCAATATTAGAACAAAACAGAAAATACTATAGGTACATAAAATGGATCACAATCTAGGGCTGAGAGCGATTTTGGTCGAATTTCGTCATAAGGCGATAAATAAGCAATAAAAAGACTAGTTATTAAAATTACGTTACGCTGAGTTCCTTGCCTGTCCTTTACAGTGGGTCACGATTCCAATCCAACGAAAATGGGTGGACGAGCTCACAGCCCATCTGGTGTTAAGTGGTTACCGTAGCCCATAGACATCTACAACGTAAATGCCACCACCCATCTTGACATATGAGTTCTAAGATCTCAGTATAGTTACAACGGCTACCCCGCCCTTGAAACCGAAACGAATTACGGCTTCACGGCAAAAATAGACAGGGTGGTGCTACCTACCCGTGCGGACTCATAAGAGGTCCTACCATCAGTAATTACGCAAATTATAATTTCGCGGGTTTGATTTTTATTACACAATGTTACTCCTTCACCGTGGAAGCCAATCGTGAACTTGTTAAGTACGTCTTTCATTAGAGCAGCCATTAACAAATCCCACCCCTCCTGGCTGTGTCTTTGCTTGCCCACCTGTCCTGATGAAACTGCAAAGGCCTCTGGACTACCAGTAAATCTTCAATCACAAAAAAAAGCGGCGTAATCCATTGGGCTGGTCCGATTAAATTAAGACAACATTGGACTCCAGCATCAATATCCCTATCCAGAAAATGCTGCGTAAAAGTCAAGACCCTTAAACACTGAGGAACACGATTCAAGGGAAAAGAGGAAAGCCCGGGAACCCACCCACTAATCAGTTTGAAGCCAGAGGGGCCCGTCGAAACTACTGGTAGATAGTCAGGTAAGAAAAAATTTAGCTCCTTATTAAGAATACTTCAAATAAGTAATCTTATATTCACAAATTCAGGTTACATACCTAATAAGACACAAGAACTGCTGAGCTCTCTTTATACAGCTACTTCCTACTCTACTTATTTAGTTATTTATAAAAAGCATTGTATGCAGTGACACGTCGTCTTATGAAGTCGTCTTGGTCTAAAAGATAAGATGCCCGGTGCAATGAAGTCATCGTGGCTTAAAGGATAAGACGCCCGAGCTTTCGAAGTCGTCGTGGCCTAAAGAATAAGACGTCCGGTGCATTCTTAACAAGCAGTGCAACGGTGCTTGAATCCCGCAAATAGGTACCAATTATTGTAATGAAACACGTAGTTAACAAATGTTTACGTTTGTCTTCCACTGTGAAGGAATAGCATCGTGTAATAAAAATCAAACTCGCAAAATTATAATTTGCGTAATTACTGGTGATAAGTCGTGTTGTCAGTCCACACTGATAGTTACCATCACCTTCCTATTTCTGCCTTGAACCAGTAATGCGTTTCGGTTTAATGTGTGGGCCAGCCGTTCTACTATAAAAAATTTAGACTTTAGAACTCATGTCCCGAGGTGGATGACGGCACTAACACTGTAGATGTCTATGGGCTCCGGTAACCACTTAGCACCAAGTGGGCAAGTTGTCCACCCATTTAAGTAATAAAAAAAACAACTTACCATCTAAATGTTGTGATGGCGGATGTACAGGATCAAGATATGTTTCAAATTCAACATCTTCGTTCTCATAATTATTTGCCACTGGTAGCGGTCTTGCGTATTCTTGTTCTACTGGGGAGCTGTTTATTTCAAGAATAGTTGCAGGTGTCACGAATGGCGTCGGAGTACTTAAAATTGGCCCTTCGACGTTGATGTCTTTGGTTGCTGCTTTTAATGTATTTAAGGCTTGTAGCAATGTCCGGATCGAGGACTCAACATTATCTTTTGTTATAGGCTTAGGAATAGATCTATTTAATTGGAGGGATTTTACCAATGATGTCAACATATTTGTTGGTGTTTGCGTTAGCCTATGAACTTGCTGATCCACAACGTATTTTTTTTGCTTATGCTCTGTATCAGGAGCGGTTGATGTAGTTTGAATTTGTTCAATTGGATTTTCATTAATATGGATTGAATCGAAAGTTGGTGATAAATCTGACGTATAAATAGGCGTCTCAGTGGTATAAGGTATATTGACTATGGGCCTAAAACCATTCTCAACAATAGGCAATACAGGTTGTGGATGTGGCTTGCGATATTGATTTCCAATCAACACTGGCTGTTTTCTTACCGGGAGCTGATGATTGACGTTTTGGTTATAAATCGATTCTGGATGAACGATTCGATGTTTCAAAAATACTTGTTCCTTAATTACCGGCGCAGGTGAGTAAGTTTTTTTTACCTCATGTACATTTTCATTTCTCTGTGGTACGACAACAGGGGGAGTTTGTTCATAAGGCACTAGCTTATACTTTGTTTCTGGTTCTTTTTCAGACAGATAATAGCGTATATTAGGAGTTTCCTCATTTTTATACAAATTTATGTAGGGTTTCCTTTGTGGCACTGGAGCTGTGTTGAATGGCTTCACAACGTATTTTTGTATAAATCTTCCGCCATCAAAGTTATTATTAACATAATCGTAGAAAGGATTCAGGTTCTGAGCGACTTTAGTGGGACGATGAACCTGTACACCGTCTTTGTAGAAAACTTTTGTAGGATTCGCAGAGGCAATGTTGTACTGAGTTAATCTATTTCCTTGATATCTTGGAATATTTCTGTGCGGATAATAAGCAATATTCTTTGGCTGTCTCTGAACAGGGTGTCCTATTTCTTGAGCTTCCACTATTTCTGCCTTTTCTACTTCCACCTTTGTGTTTTCAGTAGTCGGTACGATTAAATCGTTTGCATAGTAAAATGTCATATAAGGAATTAATCGTCTATATCTTTCATTCAAAGCAAGTGTTGTTGAATTCGAAAGTAACTGTCGACTTTTTTCATAATTGGACTTCTTTGATGATGTGAGAGCCACTGGCCCTACTGTCACCATTTCTTGAGGCAGCACCTTATCAAGCATCATTCCGCCTTCCATTTTGACCTTAGGACTGTTGCCATTGGATGATACCGTAATAGAAGAGACCGATGATGATAAAACTGCAAAAAAAAAATAACTATGTAATCCAACACTTACGTAAGATGATGGGTATCGTTAGCATCGATCGTTCAAATTGTGAAAGAACTGCTTAATTAAATTCGGATATTCTGCATAGTGAATTTGTCTAACGAACGAGGTTAAGTAACGATATGTAGAAGGTACATATCTGAATGCATTTGACCTTCACATCTTATTATTTTAAGATTGGATTTATTGGTATAATGGGAGCATCACCACTGAAAAAAACTAAAAAAACAGCAATGTTTTCTCAAGTTAATTTTGTAACCTGCTATATAATTAGAAACAAGAAGGTATTTATAATACGTTTTTCTAATAACTATAATTCTAGTCCAATAATTAGTTGATTTATTGCCATCTTCAAAGTTGTTTATTTAATGTTTGTATTAATGCGTATCTATTTTTTTGAAACGACGGTATCAAAAGTCTTCAAAACGTGAATGCCCCCACCCTCCTTGAGACTTGAGATCAAAGTCTCTGTTGTATAGTTCTGTCTCCTCAAACGCACTACAAAAACACAAACTGTAGTTTAGCAGATGGTTGCTTTGTAGAAGAATTATTCCGCTATGCTGAAAATAACACATAATCCCATCCGTAGATATCTACAATCCAACTTCCTACAACAGTATAATATAATAAACTTCTACAGTTCTTATGAGATATCGAATTATATCAGAAAATTATAATTTGCCTAATCACGGGTGGTAGGACCTCTTGGGAGTCCGCACGGGTACCACCAGCCCGCCCATTTCCGCCGTGAAGCAGTAATGCGTTTCGGTTCGAAGGGTGGGGTAGCCGTTGTAACTATACTGAGACCTTAGAACATATATCTCAAGGTGGGTGGCGCATTTACGTTGTAGATGTCTATGGGCTCCAGTAACCACTTAACACCAGGTGGTCTGTGAGCTCGTCCAACCATCTAATCAATAAAAATGAAAATATTAAATCAAACAAATCAGAGTTAGCCTTGACTAAAAAATGTATCGTAAGTAATAGAGTGAAAAAAAATTGTACATATCATCATATTTATATATAGTCCCTTCACATGGAGTATAACTACAACGAAACTTGAAAACCAAAATCCAATAGAAGTATCCAATTCTGATGAGAACCTCTATTATTCCTATTTAAATTCATAGCACGTCCTCAAACAAACAAATTAACTGTACCTATTCCTTGAACAACAGATGAGTTTCACTAGAACCGCAACGAATGCTGTCGAAACTGAAACCAAATAAACGGCAGGCAACTTTAGAAAGGCTGGACTGCTCGTGTGTCGAATAATAAAACCTTGGAGAAGTGACTGGTTCTCTAGATCCGTATCCTGATGTGTTATTGATATCGTAACGTTTTTTTAATTTTATTGTACACGGAGTTAGATATCGCTTGATTTAATCGAAAGTAGATTTTTTCATATCTGTTGCAGACAGACTATCTTACTCCAACCCATGGACACAAGTAATGCCAGGGCACAGACAAGCCACTGCTTACAGGGAAATCCTAATCTAGGTCGTAGTATAAATGATTTTTTTTAATTAAAGATCCAACTATTGTTTACTAATACTAATACATAGTTATTATTTTTCTTATCACACGTTCATTGTATCAGAATTATCACCAACTTTCCTATTCTTTACCTATTAATAATAATTCCTACCTTGAGTACAGCAAACCTGGACGGGCATCCACAACCTATTTATAACTGCCACGAACCAAATATGCGTTCTGTTTTAAAGATTAAGGCAGCCATTATACAATATAATTGAGACTTCGACCGGAAGAGTCTTAAAAGGGGTGGTAAATTAGTGAGATGATTACTATTGTCTCCGGGAACTAGTTAATCCTAGGATCCTTACATATACTGTTTTTTGATAAATATGAGAACACGGGTCCAAGAGAAATCATATTATTTCAAACATGTAGTATTAACTATTAGTTCAATAGTTTGTTAATAGCGGATATAATACATAAAATCAATCGAAATTTACCGAGTAATTTTTTTTTAATCTTTTAAATTAACAAGCACAAGTCACGACAAAGACCTTCGTGTTTTATAAACAGAAACATAGTTTATTTAGCCCAGATTGTAAAGTACCCTATTACCGCTTAATAAAATTGTAAAAGGCGGAATTAAAATAAAAAGGTTGTTTGACGCTGATAAGGCTATATATACACTCTATGTTTTATTTATTATTTTTCTATTACTTAGATGGTTTAGACGAGTTCACTTCCCATCTGGTGCTAAGTGGTTACCGGAGCCCATAGATATAAATAACCTAAATTCCGTCGCCCACATTGAGTAATGAGTTCTAAGTTTCAGCTTTACAGTACACAGGCTGCCCCACTATTCAAACCAGAACGCATTAATGCTTCAGAGCAGAAATAGGCAAGATAGTGGTACCTATCCGTGCGGACTCACAAGACCACCATTAAATTTTATAGTAAGTATGTACATGTGATAAATACTAAGTAATTGTTAAGAATTATTTTTAAGTTTTCGTGGCTATTAACATTATTTTTATTAGTAATAACCTTCGTAATGAAGGTTCTTTCGAGAACGTTGAAAAATCGAGCACTCACTAAAATAAAATTCATTGTTAAGCCCGTTAAATAATACAATTTAAATAATTGTTAAAGTAACCAACGATGATGATCGTATAGTAACTTTACAAATGAATCCATGTTTTAGGGGATGAATACACTCATCCAAGAACAAATTAATTATCTATTGTCGACTTAGCAAACATACTACTATTTTAATGCAAACGTATAGGGACAAGCTATTGTGTTTGTGCGAAATGTATCTGCTTTGCCTATTATTTAATTAACTATGCAGATGTTCTCACGACAATGCCTAGACATTCAAAAGATCACGAAGCTAACTGCACGACACAGAGTAACCTTTAATCTTCAGTTATGAACAGCAGTAGTATTGTGTCAATATACAAATAAAATCGATTCGTTTTTCTCAGAAACGCTGAAAAAAGTTACTAGTTCATAAATATCTTAGACTACCAGTAAGTAGTATCTAATTAATTTTAGTTTATAAATAAATACTTTTTGAGTCAAAACACATTAATATGTGTGCCAATAACTTATCCATAATTAATAAATAAATAATAATAATAAATATTTACTAACAATCACGCCACGTTAACTGGTCCCGTGATAAGTTCGTAAAGAACTTGTGTTACAGGTACCAGATAACGGATATAAATGTAAGATTTTTACTATACACATACATATATTTAATATACATCCATAACCCTGGAAAAGACATTTATATTTATCATACAAATATCTTCCCTTGGCGGGATTCGAACCCGCNTGGGTGGCGAAGTCGGAGGAATTCCGCGAATACAGCGTCCATGATCGCTGAGTACCCAGGTGGGGCGGCCCCGGGTCTTGAAAACACTCGCCTTGCGGCGAGGCCCCAACTTCTCGGACCTGAGCGGTTCTATTGAACACAGGTGGCAATGCGGCGCGATTACTACAGGACAAAGAAAAAGCACAACAAAACAGAAATTACGAATAGAAACAAAACAAATAAATACTTGCAGGAAACCACTTTGTCGGCAGATGTACCACGAACACAGAAACAACAAAAGGAAACAAAACAAATAAAAACTTCCAGAAAGAGCACTTAGTCGGCAGATGTACCACAAACACAGGCCGCGCGAACAATGGCCGGGCTAACAAAAGCCGGGCAAACAAAGACCGGGCGATCGAGTGGACGATGAGCACGTCCGCACGTGACGGGTGCCTCTATCGGAATGGGAATTGAACTGACGCTGACGCACGACTCGTTATTGGTTTGAACACTTCCAACATGAAAATTATTATCAAAAAATGAACCCCGTGGTCGCCCGAAAACTAAAGTCAATAACGGTGAATTAAAAGCGATAGTGGAAGCTGATACTCAATCTACCGCTGAGTTAGCAACATCTTTCAAAGTGAGCATGAACACAACATTGTCCCATTTGCCTCAAATTGGTCAGGTAAAAAAACTTGATAAGTGGGTGCCGCATGAACTGAACTCGTTATGTTTGCGTTAATGTATGTCTTATGTTGTTTAACAGACACAGAAACGAAGGGATTATTGATGCCTTTGTCACTTGCGATGCAAAATTTATTTTTTATAATCGGAAGAAACTACCACGATGGTTAGCCCCTGGTTTCAACACTAGGCAAAGGCGTAAAACGAAAACTTATCCCTAAATAGTCATGATCACTATTTGGTGGTTTAGTGGATCTAGGTAGATTCGAGTACACGAGGCCCTTATCTTTTAGATCACGACTAATAAACATAAACGTATTTTATTCTTCTTTAGATCAAAACTTAATGAGATACATACATATACCAGGGAGTAAAATAATGAATTGTGAGGAAACTCATTAATACAAGTAGAGGGACCCCTTTCTGATTACGTCACAGAGATCTTTGAACTTTTATTAAAAGACTCTTAAAAGAGTCGAATATTATCATCAGATTAAGTTCAGTTTTAACAAAAGAATTGTGAATACAATGAACATCCACTTAATACCATGCATACGTAATTTGCGTCAAATTCGTTGTTTATGTGACAATCAACAAAAATACTCAGTTATACCAGTACAAAGTTTGAGAAAGTAAATTTATAGTAAAAAGCGAAAGTTAAACCTGTCCGCAAAGTATAAGACGCCAAAAGAGATTACATAAATGGCGTCTTGTTTACCGATTAGGTGAAATTGTGCGACAACATGTTACGAGATTTTGAGAGATCCACAAGGTGCCAATATTCATATCTTAATACATGGTTACAAAAGGAATTAATGAAACCTTACCCTTTTTTTTTCATTCCTGCTAGTATTGCAGTTGCCGTGTTTATTATTTGAGGAGCTTGCTAGAAAGTCAAATAGTAACCGAATTGCTATGTTAGCATACCCAATAAAATTTTAAATGGACTTTTTTAATCAGCAAATACAAATGAAGCTAACAATCCGATTTTGTAACTTTGCATAAAGTAATCACGAATGAATAGGATATAGAACGAGTAATAACCGAAACTTCAGAGATACCAGTTAGACATTACTATAATTAAAAAACAACAAAAGAAAAACGAACACTATCGTAATAACTCTCGCAGTAAATTATCAAACTGTCTACATTCTCAGCACTATTGTTACAACTGGGTCAAGATCATAACGATACGCATCATCTTCTTCTATTCAGTTATTAGCAGCTCCGTAGTGTAATTTTATTTGTAGTATAAAATGTAGATAATTAATTCATTCAGATAATAAAGACGACTATTCTTCATATAGAATAACAGTAATTCATAGTAATGTAGTAATGTAATTCATTTTTATTCATAGATGGTGGCCACTTCTAATCAGAAGATTTGGTTAAGCATAATGCAACTGTTGTACATAAAAAATAGTTGGCGGGCTTGCAACCGTCGATCTATATTATTTAAAGTTATTAGTCGAAGTATATCGTACATTTTATTAGATACATATTTTTTTTATAATCGTGTTCTGTAGAAGCAATATATGTATCTCCGTAAAATGGAATAAATGCAGAGAGACAATCTCTATATAGGTTTATGAGGTATTTCATTGAACAGGGCTTTCGTAACATCCATTCACCCGGTCCACTAGCCCTTTGGTTTTGTGTCTGACTCAGTGGACATCGAACTTGCAACATTATTTGATAAGTTACTACAGATATCCTTTATACTTCAGCTTTGAAATTCTTTTTTCACATTGATTCAACTAAATTTAATACAATTAAATAATAATATTAGGTTTTAACTTATGAAGTTGCCATTTAGTATAGAAAAACTATTTTGTTACAAAATATTTTTTTATTTCTTTAATAATAATTTGCACCCATAGTGATGCATAGATATGCATCTCTGCCAGCGCAGTGGTAATTTTTCAATGACCTTCTTGAACAAGTGAGATGTATGGGAGCCAACAAACTCTTCAAAAATATTTTGTACTGCCTCTTGGGTATTGATTTTTCCTGCCAAGAAGTTGTTCAAAAATTAGAAGTCTGTCGACGCAAGGTCTGGTAAGTACGGAGGCTGACGCAAAACTTCCAGCCCTAAGTATTGTAGCTTAGAGACCGTCTGATGTGCCGTATGCGGTCGAGTGTTGTCGTGTAGGAGCAGCGGGGACGAACAATTACCCAAAGATGACTGGAGATTCACGAGCTTCTTTAAGAAAGTGTGATAAATTATACCGGCACTAGACCACCAAACAGTGGCCATGACTTTGTTCGGGGTATGTTTTCGTTTGGGGCATTGTCTAGGTGCCGAACCAGGGTCTAGCTGACATGATAATTGCTTACGATTTTGAAAAAGAAACCATTTTCCAACACAAGTGTCAATGCGATTCAAAAACTCTTTGTTTTTATCTCTATTAAGCAACGCAAGACATACCTTAATGTGTTCGTCGCGGACACCCACATTTTTTTTTTGCCCTTGTAGTCAGACGAGCATACGGCCCACCTGATGGTGAGTGGTTACCGTCGCCCATGGACTTCAGCAATGCCAGGGGCAGAGCCAAGCCGCTGCCTACCGAGAGCTGCCTACTTATCAAGTTATTTTAAAATTAACAATACCTTGCTTGACGCAAATGGATCAATACTGTTTTGATGCGTTAACGTTGAAATCTGTTGCTTTCTCATTGGTAGATTAAGTATCATCATTTTCACGAGTAGTGTATTCATTTGTTGTGTTGCAAAACGGCAACTTCATAGGTAATACCTATTACTTGATCAAAAGACGATATCTTCTTGAGTCTCGGTTACTAATTTTCTATCATTCATTCTTGGTGGTTATCTCTTAACTTGTTTTCCTAATTAACTCCCCAGCGCTCCTAAATTCGTTTCTTGAAAACTAGTTCAAGGGCATATTATTCCGATTTGTACAAGAATACAAATAACGTTTTTTTATACGAAAAGTCTAAAATTGACTCATAGATTATACAACATCTGTCCTACCATTCGAAACGGTTAGCATAATTGCAGAACGGGTTCACAACATGCCTGTAGATTGCAAGCTGCAAAACAATTTCTAAACTCTCCAAATACGACCACAACGGATGTACTATTAAGGAAATCCTTAACATATACTACTAAATCAAACTTCTCAGAGGACGTCCACCAATTACCTTCGAAACATTAAAGTATAGATAGTATTCATATTTAATTTCTTAATCATATGACTTTTCCTAGATCATCAGATATTATAAAACTTTATATTCCTGGTATTAACCAGGAATATAAAGTTTTGATAACGATGAAAGAGCACCATTGTAGGAGATCAAAACAAGAGTCGTTTTTTATCTGGTACATATAAATAATTAAGACGATATATATTTTAACTATTGTATTTCAAACTTGACCTCAGTTTCCAATAATTTGTAACTAGTAGTAGCTACTAAACAACCAACGAATACTTACGTTATTAGCCACAACACTACATTCTATATCATTTGCAAAACCTAATTACAACTTAGCCGTTTCATATTTAATTTAACCACGGAGCCACCTCGGAGTTCAAGGTGATATTTGTTTACGAAAAGCTGGCACAATGTTTCCCTCGTATTTATTACATTTATGAACATATTCGAACACTTTAAATTACTTCAATTTCCACTTTACACAATCTTTTCATTTAGATTTGAGTAAATTTAACTAGTAAATACATTACACGTTATGTAAGTACTAATGCTAATTTAAAATAATCGAATAACATACAGAATATTGTTTGATAAAAATTTGAAGTCCTTACCGGTCGAACCTAATTGAATATGCAATTTCGAAAAGGGCACATGTCGCATATTTTATCAAATATATTTTTTCATATACATGTAGTTTTGAGGCTTACCTACATCAATATTATAATAATTCCAGTAATTTTCAATTGCTAATTAACACTAAAATATATCTCAAAAGTTAATATTTTAAATTTTACACTGCTTTAGAAAATAATCAGTTTTTTTTCATTTCCTGAACATTTTACATTTTCAGAGATGTGCCCTTTTCGAAATTGCATATTCAATTAAATCCAATGAAAATTAAATAGTCTTGTAATTGTGTTAATTATGGGTCAGACGATCGAAGTATAGATGAATCTTCTTCTGTATAGGCCTTTAGTTCCAACAGATTTTCACGGATACTCTTAAATCTATAGTAATATAATCTTGACTACAACTATATGCTTATAATTTACATATTTCTTAAACTCCTTAAGCTATTACCCTATAAGCTTGGCCGTCTGCCTCTTTACAATCATAGTCCATGGGTCTCAAATATGACCATATGAATAATTTTCCTAATAAATCAGCGCATCCTGAACCGTAAGTATTAATAATCTTAAAATCACATAAGTAAGTAAATTATATTATTTTAATAAAAACCTGTAAATAAATCAAAAATGTGTGTAAATTTTGACGTAACGCCAATTAGTAAGACGCACCTTCTTGCACACGTTAATGGTGGCTGACCTTGTTCTAGAAGTGTTGTTATAGCCACAGACGAGGCACTCATCAATGACTTTCATTCTTCCGCATCAGTCTTAATTAAATCACATATTATCGTTTATGAGCACTTAATAAATTACTGAATTTCAAATTCTTATTATAGTTTCTTCCTACATAGCCTGTACAAATGTAAAAAGTGCTATGTAGGTGCCCCAGTCAAAACATTTCAACATATTATAAATTTCTAAGGCGGTATACCTTTACCAAGCACTTAATGGCGGACGTGATTACAGTCTTAGCATTTTAGTCATATTATTAGCGAAGTACTTTCTCCATAATGTCTATAGCTCATAACCTCTACAACCTCCAAATGACCACCGCCTTGACAAACGTGATTCTGTTGCTAAATACATCCGTCTGAATCTATAGGAGCCAACTTGTCACGAATTAGACCAGTTTTTAGAACGAAAAGAAAAACAGAATGGGCTCGCGTTTTTTTTACTGCCAAGATAGAGTGAGTGAGAAAGACTGAACCAACTTACAACCCACGCGGCCACGTTTAGTTATGTGGTAGGTAGCCGGAATATTTTTCAAAATATGGTATTACCTCTTTCCCATTTAAAATATCCCGTTTTAAATGTACTGCTTTGTTTTTATACTTCATTCTTTACTAGTAGTATGCTGTAATTGAAATTCGGACGTGTGAGCACTTCCGTTCTGTGTATTCGGAAATTTCCATCGCGAAGCAGTAGTGCGACTCAAATAATAGAACTCCCGTTATACATAGACCTTATCATGTCTGAAGGTGGATAGTGGCATTGACATTGTGATTCTACGATCTACGTTACGCACTAAATACAAGATGGACTGCTCATCTGCCTAAGCACATAAAAATATACATATATGCAGTAACAGCCTTTTTTTATTATAGCTTAAAAAATTCTTAATTGTATGTAACACCTAATAGACGAATAGACGAACAGCTTATTTTTCCATTAGGTACGAATTTTAAATAAATAAAAGAAAACCCCAACTCTATTGAAAATACTGTTACGCACTTTGTTTGAATTAAAAATAAATATGTTATATTTCTTTGGTTGTCACGGCCTGTAATGCCTTCAATATAATAATATAAGTACATAATAACATTGAAGCTATTTTACGAGATTGCCGAAGTAGGACAATGTTTTTATTAGAGATATACTATATAAATCTTGTTTTTCGATTTTTTGTTTGTAATTTAAGACAGCCGGGTTTTTTGTGTTTCATTTAATATTTTTATTTATTTCATAGTTATTTAACTACAATTAAAAAATAAGATACTACCCAAGACGCACTACTAGATTTTAATTTTGTCAAGTTTTTCCTTTAATTATAAAAAACAATAATTAATAACAATTCTATTTATTTTTTGCGGACACCATATTGGTATATTTATTATACCCTATTTTTAACATTACCCTCTCGTACAGTTGAGTAAAACAGATTCTTACCAAGTAACGTATTAATATTATTACCTATATTTACCATCAGTGATTTCCTGCCAATTTCCAAATAATCCAATAATCAAAACACATTATTTTAAAACCGAATCGAAATAGCGGCAAGTTTGCATTCTGGCTTACTTCCGCATCGCATTGGTTTGTGTGACGTAATGAACCGTGGCGATTTGAAAGTTGCCGATATTCGATTATAACAGTTAAAATGATCAATAAGCCCAACCGATATGGTCATCTTAAAGCTATCATATTTAAATTACAAGAAAATCATGCATAGTAATATTTTTTTTAAATAGATATGAACTAAATTTATTCGAAATTTAGATTTATTACTCTATTAACAGCACATATATATTTTAGTCCACTGTTGGACATGATCCTCTACCAAGGCGCGACATGCGACCCGATCCTGGACCTCCCGTCTCCTCTTACAATCTATTGCAATTTCGACAAAACCAACCAACCATTCCATCGGATATATTTTCTTGTCAATAGGATGGAATGTTCTGAAAATTTTATTAATTAATAGAGTATAAACATGTAAAGAATAGAGGTCGGCCGAACAAACTAATCAAATGAACATAGCTTATACATGATCAACATCAAGTAAGAGTAGACTGGCTACATCCCTCCTTCAGTCATGCTGCTTACTTCTGAGGATCCTGACCACCTCTATCCATAAGGTTCGTCCTAACGATGTTGTGCAATCTGTCCTGTTTTCCTGGCTTCGGCTACTCTGAGAATATCGTAGACGGTAGAATCGAGACTAATGCGAACCTAGTCACACTGGCTACATAATATGCCGAAAATTCAAAAACAATTAGATAATATGTAAAGTTAACTGTAGATCGCTAAGAACATAAAATTGTGGAAGCGTGAAGGCACTCAACCGGAACAAAAACTCATGAAAGATAGATGTAGGTGTACATTGAAAAAAAAAAAGTATATTATAAAAGAAGAACCAAAGTCTGAGGTAAATAAAATGATCTATATCCAGCAGTCAATAAATGTGGCTGACAATGATGATATATTTCAAATAACTTGGATCCAAAAAAAATACCAGCACTCTTCCATATTATAGGGAATAGAATATGCGATGCACCAGCCAAAATAAAATACTGCCTTCATTATATTAGATCAGAGTCAGTCATAGCAACTGTGGCATATGTATGTATATACGTTAAGTAATTATGTATACGAACGGTGTGGAGTCGCGTCGCGTTGCAGTTGCACTGTGATTGCGTCAACAACTATGCATCGCTGCATGCCTTAAGGTTTTCAATCAATTAAACTTCTTTCCTAACAAAATAGTTTACGCCACTGATGTTCTTCCTAGTGAGCGTAACGCTTTCGCTAAATTTCGATTGACTTTGTCATTAACATGTTGAAGTTAAGTGAATCCATTTTATTAAACATCATAAAAATACATGCTACCTCAATGATTAAATTAAGCAAACTATCTATCTTCTTTAGTTTCTTAATAAAAGTATGTTGTATTATATACAAAGTAATATGTATGCATTTATTACGATTTTCATCATTTTTATATAAGCTACGATTTACACAATTTTAGTAATGAATATTAAAAGCAAGTTACATAAAAGAATAATGAATATTGATTTATGTGCCATATTATTTATATTAAATGCAATCAGTGTGAATATGAGAGAAGATAATTTGCGACAAATCCCAATACGGCAAGTTGTATTAATAAGATGATTGCTTTTTTAGTCTTAAAAAAATAACTAATAGAATCTAGAAGGGGACTTTCACGCTAATTAAAAATATGCACCCTTCATTTCCACTCTTCGAAAACAAGGACAAGTATTTCGTTCCTATTCCGATAAAAAATAGATTTTACGGCTCTATTTATTCTTATTTCACGTAACTTAAGACAATTAAAAATCACCCGATAACCCGCTGCATTCATGACCATGAAGACTTTAAGAGAACACGGCCTTTCAAGTTTTTATACATAGATAATCTCACTAAAATGTGTCAAATGTTTATCACGCTACAATATTATAGTTTTCTATTTACGCTACTGTATTAGATATTAGCCGTTTTATCTTCTGGGATATGTGGTGACAATGCGTTTACTGAGACCTTTTTGCCACGTACCATCCGGATCGAGAATCCCCGCCACGATGTTTCCCGAGCGCTGTGATATATCCTAATTCAAACAAGGCTTGCGATGAGTACTCAGCGGTAATATCGTCTTCCGTATCCGTGACCAGGGTATGTCGTTAATGTAATAGCAGAAAAGTAGCGGAGGGAGAGCGGGGCCTTGCGGGACTTCGGCCGAGATTTTATACGGGAAAGTACGGATTCCCTCTACTCAATACCGAAACTAACAGTTCAACAAGAAGTCTCGTATGGTAAGCACAAGTTTGTCTGGCACTTCCATGCTGTATGTATAGTTTGTAAATTAAACCGTAGTGCCAGACTTTGTCGAACGTCTTCGCAATATCGAAAAAGAGGGCTCCCGTGGGTACGGGTCTAGGTTTATTTAGTCCAGTAGGACATCTTAATAAAGATGTGCTCCATTAGGCCGAGCATTAGTGACTGCCCGAGTGTTTGGCCGTTTGAGGTGATAAAGTCCCAGAGGCATTTACTAATCAGTTTGCCTATCGTTGGAATAAGGCTAATCGGGCTGCTAATTGGGTAGCTTATGGGTTCGTTTTTACGTTTTCCAGGTTTGTGTATGCCCATAACGTCCGCTTCTTTCCACACCCCGGAAAAGATGCAGTAAGTTTCTTGTTTGCATGACCGTTAATATTCAAATTCAAATTTTCAATCAACACAGAAGACATTAATTTGAAATATAATATTTTTACACATGTAGCGATTGCCATAATCCATTACGCAATGTGTACACCACAAATAAAATGGAGACCGCATCAGCATCTACATGATATATTTACCAACCGCATAATAGAGGCTATCGACACTAAATTTATTTAAAAAAAAGAGAGACGATGACAAAACCATAAAGTATTGCTACTTTCAAAAATACTAACAGTCGTTGCAAAATATTTGCCAAAGTTTTTTAGGATGCGAACTTACGCGCTTTTCAATAGTAGTATGAGTTTAACAGTTTTAATAACCAATAATAATATGAGAAGAACGCAAGAATAACAATAATTATTTACACTTGTAAATAATTTTCAACAATGTTAAGACAATAGAGACTTAGATAACTCTTTCTGAAGCTAGCGAGGTACAGAGATATATAGGTTGTGGACTACCATAACATAAGAGGAAAATAATGCTCATTAGCTAAGAGCTGAACTGAGGAAGTGCTTTTAAGAATTAAATAATAAAATAATAAGTGCGGACAAGTCGCACACAGTTATTTGATTCCGTAGGATTCCATGTACTAAGGGAACCAGAGACTGTTATACACACGTATCTAGGTTTAAATAGATACATAATAACTATGTAGGTATTGATATTGGAATGGTGTGTATTTGCACGAATATTTTTTACACAATATGAGAATCGAATCCGTCCTGGATTCCTGCCCTGCAAACAGAGGCACTAATTACTGCACCATTGAGTCTCTGTCAATTGTCTGAGAT